CCGGGAGTCCATTCCAAAACCAAAGCGTTCCAAAACCAAGGCGTGCTTTCCTATGGAAAGCAATACAAAACGGATTAATCCGTTCCAGACTTTTAAAAACAACCCCTAAAACAGCAATTTAACATGGAATTTACTATCTAACGAGACCATGGGTCCCTACAATTAAAGCAATAAACAATGTACTGCAGTCACACAATCAGTCAATCAGTAGCTGAATGGGTTCCACACAGTCACAAAAACACACAATTAATAGCAAAAACAGACAGAAATCAGTGTAGCACTCAGAACAGAAGTGTGGCACTCAAAACAGAGCACTTATGGCTTCCGGGGAAAAAATTGCAAACCGGAAAACTTACTTCCAGGTTTGCAGCCTTTAGGTTCCAAGTTGTTTGAGTACCAAGGCGTTTGAGAGCCAAGGTACCATTGTTCTAGATTCCGGTGTCACTCAGTGAAGCTGAATGGTGGGAGACGTGGAACAGACAAAAGGGAATGCTTGTTTGTAGAATTTGTACTGTTCAAACGGAAAGGGCTCAAACCATCGCAAGAGGTGTTGAAATTTTGGGAGGTTGGATAGTTACAATGGAATGGTCTCAGTGGCGGGGTGCGCATTTTCATTCTTATTTATTTATGGTAATTACTTTGTCAAAATAAAATAAAATAAAAAGAATAAAAATTAAAAATAAAGCAAGAAGAAGAAGAAGAAGAAGAAGAAGAAGAAGAGGAAGAAGACAAAAAGACACAGCTCATGATTGGACTGTGGAATTAAGCACCACAAAATACAGTGGTGCCTCGCAAGACGAAATTAATCCGTTCCGCGAGAGTCTTCGTCTAGCGGTTTTTTCGTCTTGCGAAGCAACCCTATTAGCGGCTTAACGGATTAGCGCTATTAGCGGTTTAGCGGCTATTAAAGGCTTATCGGCTTAGCGGATTAGCTGCTAAAAGGCTATTAAAGGCTATAAAGCAGATTAGATAAAGGGGGCGAAAAGCGAAAAAAAAATCTCAAGACTCGCAAGACATTTTCGTCTTGCGAAGCAAGTCCATAGGGAAAATCGTCCTGCGAAGCAACTCAAAAACGGAAAACCCTTTCGTCTAGCAGGTTTTCCGTCTTGCGAGGCATTTGTCTTGCGGGGCACCACTGTACAGCTTTAAAATGAGATGGGACAGATTTGTGGAGGATATGGCTATGAACGACGGCAGGTTTGGGATGGATGTGTTCTGCTTCCAGTATCTTGAGGCAGCAGACCTCAGCCAGTTGTCCTTCTTAGGCAACTCAATGGCTGCTATGGGACACAGGATGAGGGACCAAATAGGCCTTTGGCTCAGTCCAGCAGGCCTCTGTGTCCATTTTGAGCTTGCAAGGTCCTCTGAGTGGGGGATTTGTTCTTCTATACCACTGGCGTACTTCCACATAGGAGCTCATTGTGGACTCAGCGCTGCTGAGCAAGAGCTACTGGGCTCATTTTGTGGCGCACTGTGAAACGTAGTGTTTTCACTGCCAAACGTTGCAGAGGGCCTTCCGCCCCACGTTTGGCACCACTTTGGAGTGAATCGGATGCCGTCGGATTTTTGGCAGAACCTTGACCCCGCGAGTTAGGGCGCCAAAGGCTCCTTTTGTACGGTGCCGGGAAACGTAGTGTTTTCACCGCCAAATGTTGCAGTAGAACCAGCTTCCCGTTCTTGGTTCCCAGGAAATTGGGGAAAGCAGACTTCATGTTCCTCATCCCTTTTCTAAAAAGCACGTGTCTCCCCCCCCCCAAACAATCCTGGGAATTGTAGTTTGTGAAGGGTTCTGGGAATTGTAGCACTATGACAGGTAAGCACTTTAAATCATAGGATCACAGAATTGTAGAGTTGGGAGGGACCCTGAGGGTCATCTAGTCCAACCGCCTGCAATGCAGGAATCTCAGCTAAAGTATCCATGGCAGATGGCCATCCCACCTCTGCTGAAAAACCTCCACGGAAGGAGAGTCTACCGCCTTCCGAGGGATTTCTTCTCACTGTCAAACAGCTCTTGCTGTCAGAAAGTTCTTCCTGAAGTTGAGTCGGAATCTCCTTTTTGTAGCTTGAAACCATGGCTTCAGGTCCTGAGGAGAAAACAAGCTTCCTCCTCCCTCCTTGTGACGGCCCTTGAGATATTGTCAGGGCTTCATGGTGTGGCTCTCATATCCATGTCCTGAGGGACAGAGAGCAAAACATTTCTCTCTCCCCTTTCTCCAGCCCAGGCAGAATTGCAAGGGGTCAGTGCATCTGGCTGGTAAGAAGATGGTCGGAGTTTGGAGCCCAGCCAGGGCTGGTTGTGGGCAGGATCCTGGCATTGCCGGGGGTTGGACTAGAAGACCCTTGGGATCCCTTCCAACTCTACCATCAAGCAGCCAAAGGAAGGGGCGGGGGAGCAAGAAGCAGAACCAGGGGAGGCATAACCACACACCCCAACAGCACCCTCTGGCCTGACCCACGGTGGCCTCATCCCAGCACACTTTGACCCCCTGATTGTATTTTTCTTAATTCATCTGCCTGGCAACCCAGCAGCCTGGCCCCTGTTTGCCAGCTGATGTCACAAAGTGCTGCTTTGCAAGCAAACCTTATATTGCCCTGCAAGAGGGAAACCTGTCAGATGACAGTGAGAGACTTGAGAGAAATGGATTCTTGAAGGTAGGAGGCTCAGAGAAGATGAGTGGCATTATTATTCTTATTCTTATTATTATTATTATTATCATCATTATCATTAGTGTCACCCATCACTGGTACATGTGGCTTGGTTCCTTGGCTTGACTTGTTGACAGCTGTAGATAGCTTGCCAGGTCCCTGCCTCTCAGCAATGGATGGCGTGTACACAGCCTTTGGTTTTAAGGGAAATGCTTCTAAGTTTGATCAAACGAAGTGTTGGCGATGTTACGCACAAGAGTTAGACAGGGTGCCGGCGTTTGTCACCTGTTTCGCCCATGAAGAGTCTCAGGCTTTTTCAGTACCGGTAAGTTCTCTCTTCGTTTGATCCAACTTACCTTTGTTGATATCTACAGGAGCCTGGCTAAAGGAACTTTAAAGACTGAATCTTCCTTTTGGACACAATTTGAATCAGTTTTCTGTTTGTGGCTTCTATAGTAGATCTTGTACCTTGTTCCCTCAATTTTTGGATTATTAATATAAGATTTAGAACGTAGAATGGTTTGGTAGTGTTTTGTGTGCTGCTTATGTGCTGCTTACTTCATACTGGTCTACTACGAGAATTGGCAGCATAGGTTCATTTCTTCAGTACAATCTCCATAGTGGCAGCAGCCCCCCTTCTGCTCTGCTTCCGTTGGGATGCCTAAGTGGTGGACATACTATCAAAGGTTCATTGGCATGGATAGCCAAAGCTATCGCTACCAACAATGTTCTTTGGAAAAGAGGACAGTGGATGGGAAAGGCCTCCTTAGAGGACCGCACAGTAAACTGGGTGCAGATCGTACAGACAGTCAGAATTGGCCCTTGGATGCACATCTGATTAAACCTGTGGGGCCTGATTCAGCCAAGTGAAAGGAAAGCGGAAGGCTGCTTCTGTGGGGAAAGGGATGGGCAGGGAGACGAAGAGCCCCACCCTCTTCTTCTTCTGCAAGGGGAATAACTAACAAAAAGGCAGCAAAACACACAGAGTGAATTTTTCACATATCCACAGTTGTTGTTGTTTGTTTATTTATTGAATTATTTAAGCATGCAAAATAGGGTACGGATGTAAGGGTTGATGGGTCCAAGTAGGCATGATGGAAGGAACAGTATTTGTTCTTTAAATGTGTCTGCCATATTTATATGTGCGGAAGCCAGAATCAAGCAGCAATCCAACAGAATAAGAAATCTAGCCACTACTGTCTGCATTGCTGACACACATCTAAAGAAGCAGGAAAGTTTTGGCACTTTTAAGTCAGTGGTTTTTATTCACACAGTGTTCCCAGTTGCGCCTTAGCTGTGTCATATCTACGTGAAACTGCCAAGAATAGACCCACATCCCATGTCATTCTGGCCTCCCTCGGGAGAAAGGGTGCAATATAAATTCAACAAATAAAATAATTATGAGTGAGTGTCCGGCTTGGGAACGTTCTTTGGAATCCAGGCGTCTGACATGACTTCCTTCTGAGTGCAGGAAGCTCCTGCAGCCAATCGGAAGCCGTCCCTCCCCCCCCTCTAGAACCCACCACTCTTAACCAACTCTCAACTGCCTCCCCCCCAACATTCAGACTTACTTTCAGAGCCTGAAAGGACACTGCTGCACTCTTTCAACAACGGTCTCCACAATGACTGAGTTTTGCAAAGGTGAGAGCCTGGAAGCTACAATGCCTAGGATCATTTTGAGGACATCATGTGCTTTAAATGCTCATTAGATGCACTTTAAATCATAGGATTATAGAATTATAGATTATAGAATTGTAGACGGAATTGTAGAGATTTGCTAGAGAAAAATGAATGCTGAAGGAAGGAGGCCCAGAGGAGATGAGTGGCATGTTGTTGTTGTTGTTGTTGTTGTTGTTGTTGACATCACCCATCACTGATGCATGTGGCTTGGCTCCCTGGCTTGCTTTGTCCACAGATGTTGCTAGCTTGGCAGGTCCTCAGCTGTGGACCCCAGATGATATTTTCTGTTGTGAATTACTGGTTGGTAACTTCCTCTGTTTTTATTTTCCTTTCTGTCTCACAGGTTCTCAGGCAGGAAGGGCACAGCAGCTGCCATGGTGCCATAAGAAAGAAATATCACTGGAAATCGTGGTATGTTAATTCCATGGGGAATCCATTTCCCATTTTTTAATTTATTTTAATTTCTATACCGCTTTATATTTGTAATAAAAATCTCAAAGCGGTTTACAGCATAATAGAACATTAAAACAATAGCCGGGGGATGTTCCTCCGGCCTCAGGAGGAGCCTCTTCAGTAGGGCTGGCTGGTGGGTCTGGTCCTCGCCCCCCTGGCCAGGTGGAAAGGGCCTTGTAGGGAGCGGCCTTCACCCTCCCACCTGCCCCCTTCTTCCCAGGATGAAGAACCGGACGACATCCCGGCGGTTCCCGGTTGTCGTCCCTCGCGGCGCGTCCCCACTGCCCCTCCTCCGTACGGGCATGGCTCCATCCCGGCCCGGTTTGGCACAGAAGCAGCAGCCAAAGTTTCCTCCCATTAAAACAGCTTCTTATGTGATTTCTGAGAGGGAGGAGACTTTGGCTGTTGCTTCTGTGCTAGGCCGGTCGGACGCCCATACGGTGGAGAAGTGGGGAGCCCTGATAAGATCAGGTAGGAGGAAATGCCCCTTCCCAGATCCCCCACCCTCCTGCCCCTGACTGGGGCTAGCGTGGCTGGGAGACAGGCGCCTTCTGATGTCTCTGTTTCCTTTGCAGCGAGGGAGCAGTTCAGCCGTGGAACCACCACGTTCCTGGAGGGACTGGAGCCCAGACGATGGCCTCTCGCCCCTGAGGTAATGGGACAGGGGGTAGGAGGGGGGCCTTAGGAAACACACCAGAAAGGCCTGCAGGATCAGGCCAAGGGGCCGTCTGGTCCAGCCTCCTCTTCTCCCAGGGGCCACCCAGATGCCACTGCGAAAGCAGCCAACAGGATTCGAGCCCAAGAAGCAGTGCTTCAAAGATCCCTTCTTTCTTGCAGGATCTCGATCGTTCACCGCTGTGGCTGCTGCCCAAGCCTCCCCCAAAAAGACCAGGTAAGAGGAAGGGAACCTTTGCATGGGGTGGGGAGAAGGTTGGGGGCCTTCCTACAGGGGTTGCTTCACTACAGCTCCCATTGTCCTTGACGACTGTCCTTTTTCCCCTTCATTTTTTATAAAAAAACCACAGCTTGAGGATTCCACAGCTTGACGAATTCCAGAGTGTTTGGATCTCAGCTGAAGGACTGTATTCCGGTTTCTGATTTTTCAGCTGCTGAAGCATTTGAAAGCTGTGATGTGATAAATAGAGGCTTTACAAATGTGAAGAGCAAACTTTTCCCTGTTCATCCTTTGGACACAACAGATAATTTTGTTGTTGTTGTTGTTGCTAAATCAAGATAAGATGAATTTTTCTACTCTGAGAAATATTCTGGGGCTGCATGCACCGCTGAAGCTGCAGATGGGATTCCAAGCAGTGAAGCAGGTCCAGCGTCTTCCTTCCTAGTTCTAACTTGTCCCTGGATATCTGGAAAGGCAACTGGGACTGCATTGGTTTTGAGGATATTCTGAACGACCCGGCACAGAGTGAAAGAATGGGAGATCCTCATCTTTTGGTTGAACACAAACTTGGTTTCTTATAATGCGCGCATACTCCATCCTTCTGTTCATGAAAATATTTCTTACCTGTGTCCCTGTGGGTTCAAGTAAACCATATAAACAGTAGTTGTACAGCACTTGTTTTGATACACACAATGTCTCACTTACCCTGATGAAAACAGGGCACATTAAATGCTTAAATATATTACTTTTGCTCTGTGTTTACTGTCAGTACAAATGTCTTGTAAGTGGGTATTTTTTTAAAAAAATCGGGAAATATCTCTATTCAGGGCAATTACTGTTTCACATCTGCAACTGTGGAACTGTAAACATTAAATAGTCTATAGAAAAGGTGCATTTTAGATTGAATGTTCTTGTTCTTTGCCATATATAACCCAAGTATTTGCTGTTTAATCTTTCTTTCCTTCTGCTTGATGACTTCACCTGCATCTTTAAAAAAGATACATATATATATATATATATATATATATATATATATATGCAAAAAACCAAAAAGCAAAAATGAGCTCCTCACCAGAGCTGTCGCATTTTGGGAAATGAGCTTGTGGCACTAGAGGGAGAGATCAGCTTGCCGGCAAACAGCCTCTAAGACTCTCACCAAAGCAAGAAAACTTCCCAAATTAAATCCAAATAAAAAGAGAGAATTATTGAAAAGTGTCTGGGGGTACAGCTAAACCTTTAGTATATGGACATAGAATAAATCACAGAATTGTGGAGTTGGAAGCGACCTTGAGGACATCTAGTCCAACCCCCTGCAATGCAGGAATCATTTTGCCCCACATGGGGCTTGAACCCACAACCCGGAGATTAAGAGTCTCGTGCTCTACTGACTGAGCTATCCAGGATGATTGTTCTGGTAATGCTGAAAATGGAGCTCGGCACATGTCCAGCTAAAATTTTTATTTAATATAATCCAAGGCTGGTATTGATAGATCCCCAACACAAATTCAAACCTGCTTCTTGCCCTTCTATAGCCTTCCAAATGACAAGTATTCATTTAGTTAGTGACAATACACCATAGGATGTAATGCAGATGCTTTCAAAAACTGTATTTTGCTGCCCCCACGTGGCCAGAGCTGGATTCAGCTATTGCGTCCCTTGAATTCAGCTTTCCGAATTAACGCTTCTGAGATTTTGACTCCCTGATCCAAGATGCTATGCTACTCACCTCAGTGATTTGTTGAAAGCAGCTTGGTGTCCAGCAAGAACGCGGCTTGATAATAACACGTCAGGTCATGCATGTTCTTTTGGCATATTTATATTATCCATGTATTCTCTTCAACAATAATGCATTATCCAGACTCGGGAGGCAACCCAACGGGTCCCAGCACAACTTCCACAACTGCTTGAGGTCCCTCTTCCTTCCGAATCCTTGATCTCTCTTCCCCTCCCTGCTCTCCTGACTTGGCTTCTAGCTGTTGATGTTACTTGGATGTCAAGACGGATGAATGATGCAGCAAGAAAACTAAAAAGGTGGCGCAGAATGCCAGCTGGTGGAGGTTAAGGCATCTGCCATGGCTGCACCTAAAGGTAAAGGTAAAGGGATCCCTGACCATTAGGTCCAGCCATGACCGATTCTGAGGTTGCAGCGCTCATCTTGCTTTATTGGCCAAGGGAGCCGGCGTACAGCTTCCGGGTCATGTGGCCAGCATGACTGAGCCGCTTCTGGCGAACCAGAGCAGCGCACGGAAACGCCATTTACCTTCCTGCTGGAGCGGTACCTATTTATCTACTTGCACTTTTTTTTATAATAATAATTTTTTATTAAGGTTTTAAACAAACAAAAAAGAAAAACAACACACACAAAAAACAATACAAAACTTAACAATATAAACACAAAACAATTAATAACAAACTCTCTTTTCCATTTCCAATTTTAAGTTACTTATTTTCTGGACTTCCTCATACCTCCCTCTTTTGTATTCCAATCCACATTTATTTATCCAGCAGTTTCTTTTCCACTTTTTTAATCCCAATCTTTAATTTAATAAAATGTTAAAATATATAACTTCAACTTTTTTAAACCTAATCCTTGGTCTTAATATCCTGTAACTTTAAAGTTTTCCCTTTTAAAATCAAATTTCCATTTCTTTAAACTTCTTTAATCTTAATCTTTAATCTTAATCTATCCTTAACTTTAACCTGTGCAGCTGGAAACCACTTATTTTCAGTCCAACATCACTCTAACATTCCTTAATTTTGCAGTGTTTCTGAAGATAGTCTTTGAATTTCTTCCAGTCTTCCTCCATCGACTCTTCTCCCTGGTCACGGATTCTACCAGTCATTTCCGCCAATTCCATATAGTCCATAAGTTTCATCTGCCATTCCTCCAGCGTGGGAAGTTCTTGTGTCTTCCAATACTTTGCGATGAGTATTCTTGCTGCTGTTGTTGCATACATAAAGAAAGTTCTATCCTTTTTAACACCATTTGGCCCACTATGCCCAGGAGAAAGGCCTCTGGTTTCTTAGGAAGGTATACTTAAATACCTTTTTAATTCATTATATATCATTGCCCAGCAAGCCTTACTCCTTGGGCACGTCCACCAAAGGTGCACAAATGTAACTTCAATTTCTTTACATTTCCAACATTTGTTATCGGGCAAGTGATAGATTTTCGCAAGCTTGACTGGGGTTATGTACCACCTGTATATCATTTTCATAATATTCTCTCTTAAGGCATTACATGCCGTAAATTTCATACCTGTGGTCCATAACTGTTCCCAGTCAGCAAACATAATGTTATGACCAACGTCCTGTGCCCATTTAATCATAGCCGATTTTACCGTTTCGTCTTGAGTATTCCATTTCAGCAGCAAGTTATACATTCTTGACAAATTCTTAGTATTGGGTTCTAATAATTCTGTTTCTAATTTGGATCTTTCCACCTGGAAGCCAATTTTCCTGTCCAATTTAAATTATTTATCTACTTGCACTTGACGTGCTTTCGAACTGCTAGGTTGGCAGGAGCAGGGACCGAGCAACAGGAGCTCACCCCGTTGCAGGGATTCGAACCGCTGACCTTCTGATCAGCAAGCCCTAGGCTCTGTGGTTTAACCCACAGCACAACTAAAAAGGTGGCGCAGAATGCCAGCTTGTGGAGGTTAAGGCATCTGCCATGGCTGCACCTAACTCACTACAAATAAGGATTGAATCTGGGCCCTTCTGTCTGCAAGGGAGACGCTCTACCATGGAGCCACTTATAAAGGAGGAACATAGTAGTTAGGTTCCCTGTGAGGTGGCGGCATAAGGCATGCCTCTCCCCTATGGCTTTAGTTCCCCCGAAACGTAGGAACCGTCACCTTCACAATAGAGATTGTCAAATCAGAGGGGTGTGGGTGTGGGTGTGTGGGTGTGTGATTGTTACGAGGCTTCCCCATAAGTACACTCACACCCTTGACATTACAGCTTGGAACACAGTTTGATAAAACTGCAAGGTTCTTTTTCTTCTTTTTTAAGTGGAGGAATAGGATTTAAAAGAATTCTGAGAAAACTGCTGCTGCCAAAGCCCCCCTCATGGAAAGAACAGGTAAGAGGAAGGAAAGATTTAAGAAGACAAATTTCTAGTCCAACGGGAAAATATGGTAAATATGGTTAAGCCAAAGTGGGCCGTGTTTGCTGCACTGCAAGATTGCAGAGTCCCCGCCCCACAAGATACAGTCTTGCCTCTGTCTCTGTGCCATCTCTAGGGTGCGTAGAATCAGGTTGTGGGCCTTGAGTTCCTCATCCCAGCTGTCAACTGCCTGGCAATGGTTCTCCAAAGGGTGGCAGGTAGCAGTTGCTCCCAGCCTGGCCTAGATATACCAAGGATGGACCCACCATTTTAGGCCATAGCTCAGCGCCTGTGGAAGGCCACAGGGCCAGTCCTCAGCATCCCCAGGTGAGGCTTGGGGAAACTCTGATCCCCAGGTAAGCTGCTGCCAGCCAGGCCAGAGGAAGACAGTCTGGAGCTTCCGGGACCCAGAACCTGGCTCCTGAGGCAGCTGTCTATGCAGCCCAGTGGGTGAGATCTTTGGCCAGGCAAAGGGCAAGGAGCTTTCCTGCATATTCCCCTCTGGCGACTGAACCCTCCGTGGCCGAGCTTCAATCTGTCTCTCTCTGCTCCTGTGTTGGGTTCACACAGTGGGAGTGCCAATACTTCTTGCATTCTTAGAATCAAAGAATCACAGAACAGGAAGGGACCTTGAGGATCATCTAGTCCACCCCCTGCAATGCAGAAAGATTCAGCTGTGCCAGATGGGGATCGAACCTGCAAGTTGGGCCTTCTCATCCACACACCTGAACCCAAGCAGGGAGTTGAATCCAAGCCCTTCTGGGTGCCCAGAAGATGCTCTGCCACTGAGCTATAGCTCCTCAGAAACAGAAACACAGGAAGGGGATTTAGGCCTTAGATTGCTCCGTCCACCTCAGAGTGGCTGGGGCAACCAAATCAGATGGGTGGAACACACACACACACACACACACACACATATATATATATATATATATATATATATATGCAAGAAGATCAAACCTATCCTTTCTTAAGGAAATCAGTCCTGAGTGCTCACTGGAAGGACAGATCCTGAAGCTGAGGCTCCAATACTTTGGCCACCTCATGAGAAGAGAAGACTCCCTGGAAAGACCCTGATGTTGGGAAAGATGGAGGGCACAAGGAGAAGGGGAGGACAGAGGATGAGATGGCTGGACAGTGTTCTCGAAGCTACCAGCATGAGTTTGACCAAACTGCGGGAGGCAGTGGAAGACAGAAGTGCCTGGCATGCTCTGGTCCATGGGGTCACGAAGAGTCGGACACGACTAAACAACAACAACAACAACAACAACAACAACAACAACAACAATATATATGCCTACACTGACCAGCAATTGCTCTGGAAGGTCTCAGGGCAGCAGTATTTACACACACACACAAATTGCTTCCACACATACAAATTGTATTAGCCATTGAGGTTGTCCCAGCCAGATGGAGCAATCTGAGGTTCAATCCATGCACGTTTTACTTCTGAGTAAACCGCATGGAACCGCTGGGATTTATTTCCAAGTAGAAGACAGCCTCCCGATCAGGACTGGAAACAACCATTTCCCCCCAAATGGTGCCCAAATTGCTACCTTTGTTTCTTATATATTGTATTTTATTGTATTGTATTTCACATTGAGTTCCATAAAATGATACTAATTTTAAGTTCAGTGGTACCTCGGGTTACAGACACTTCAGGTTACAGACGCTTCAGGTTACAGACTCCGGTAACCCAGAAATAGTACCTCAGGTTAAGAGCTCTACCTCAGGATAAGAACAGAAATCGCACGGCGGCAATGGGAGGCTCCATTAGCTAAAGTGGTACCTCAGGTTAACAACAGTTTCAGATTAAGAACGGACCTCCAGAACGAATTACCAGTAAGTTCTTAACCCGAGGTACCACTGTAAAATGATACTCATCTTAAGTCTGCAAGATAGCTCCTGCAGTCCTGCATCAATTTTGAGCTTTTCCATCATTCCCGCTTTCCCTCCCCACTGCACCCCACCCTGTTACTGTGCCTCCCCTCCAGTTTACTCTGAGTAACATTTCTGGGTATTCCCAAATCTTATTCACTCCACTGTGACATTGTAGGTGGTGCTGATAAAGATATCCCTGAATGGCAGCTTTATTTCTTTCCCACAAATGGACCAGGGCTCCTGCCCACTCATTCCTGCATCCACACAGCTGCAAGGACGTCCAGGAATCAGCATCCCAGAAGCTGCCTGCTTCTTCTTGCCCTGCTTCCCAATCAGAATCCCTCTCTTTACACACGAGGTGTCCTCTGCAGCAGGCAAGGGCCGTCCTTCCCTGGGCACGCAGCAGAGAGCCATCTTAGTTGCGTTGACAGGTGGGGAGACTCTTTTCCCAGCCAGCAGGGGGAAAGCAGTGCAAAGGGGGGGGGGGAATAAAAAAAAAATTAAGATGCTGGAATGCCACCGGGACCATAGAACACCGGTCCTAAAGGATCTACGGTGGCTCCCAGTACATCTGCGAGCACAATTCAAAGTGTGGGTCCTGTATACCTGAAGTAGGGTTGCCACCTGGTCCTTAAAAAACAGAGTTTTAAAATCTCATCCTTGGCAGCAAACTTAAAAGGATAGGGATCAGGCTGCAAAACCTTGTGTTGAGCAAGTCCAGCCATGAAGCTAGCTGCCTCCCCGCCCCCCTTGCCCCACTTAAGAAAGAATCTGGTATCAACTTGGGAACTTTAAAAATAAGCTTTACTTACGTTATAATCATGCATCGGTTCACAACAAAATAGGCATTAAAAACTGTACAGGAAAAATACCGTTATACATTTTCAGGAGACTCTAAACCCTAGAAATTGATAAATGGTAGGATTTTGATTAATTGGGATATCAGTGAAAGTATACGCTTGCAGAACTGTGCCAGACAAGGAATCCCTGGACTGACTTTTGCAGACCAAGCCGACCAGCCTAGCAAAGAGCAAATCCGTTAACACACCTGAGCTTGCTGGACACATGACCCAAGGGGAAGTGGGGATGAGCCCCAAAGGTATGGTGGGTACACAGCCTGTGGTTTCTTTCTTTCTTTCTTTCTTTCTTTCTTTCTTTCTTTCTTTTTGATTTTATTTTCAATGCATAATTACAATATAAAATACAAAAATAAAACATAAATAAGAAAAATCAAAGAAAAATAAAGAAAAACAATATCAACGACAAAACATAACAATACATACATACATTTTGACATCCTTCCACCCTTTTTAGACTTGAAATTTTCCATTTATCTTATTTGTTGTGTTATTTTATTTACATATATTTTACTTCTGGTTTTATGCCTTTTATAGCCGTTTCTTCATTTCACTAACCCTGCAAAAGTCATTCATTTGTTGTTGTTGTTTAGTCGTTTAGTCGTGTCCGACTCTTCGTGACCCCATGGACCAGAGCACGCCAGGCACTCCTGTCTTCCACTGCCTCCCGCAGTTTGGTCAGACTCATGTTTGTAGCTTCGAGACACTATCCAACCATCTCGTCCTCTGTCGTCCCCTTCTCCTTGTGCCCTCCATCTTTCCCAACATCAGGGTCTTTTCCAGGACATCTTCTCTTCTCATGAGGTGGCCAAAGTAGTGGAGCCTCAGCTTCAGGATCTGTCCTTCCAGTGAGCACTCAGGGCTGATTTCCTTCAGAATGGATAGGTTTGATCTTCTTGCAGTCCATGGGACTCTCAAGAGTCTCCTCCAGCACCATAATTCAAAAGCATCAATTCTTCGGCGATCAGCCTTCTTTATGGTCCAGCTCTCACTTCCATACATCACTAAGTCATTCATTACATATCGATATATTTATTCCAGAACAATGCTTTTTCATGTACTCTTTAACACAGTCCCATTCTTTTATTAATTTTTGATCTGATTGTCCCCTCAAGACTGCCATTAACCTTGCTGACTCTCCCATTCACATGAGAGCCCATACTGGATCCTGCTTCCTCCACAGGAATGGCGTGGCTCTCATATCCATGTTCTGTTGTTTTTTTTTTAAATAATTTTTATTAAAATTTTAAATAACAAAGAAAGAAAAGAAAAACATACACAATACATATAACAAAAACACGAAAAATAAGAGAACAAAAGCAAGATTCAACAATAAAAATACAAAAAAACATAACAATTAAAAACAATATCTCTTTTTTCATTTCCGTTTTTTAGTTGCTTATTTTCTGGACTTCCTCATACCTCCCTCTTTTGTATTCCAATCCAGATTATTTGTCCAGCAATTTCTTTTCCACTTTTTTAATCCCAATCTTTAGCTTTAATAAAATATTGAAATATATAACTTCAATTTCTTTAAACCTGATCTTTAGTCTTAATATCATATAACGTTAAAAATTTCCCTCTTAATGTCAAATTTCCATTTCTTTAAACATCTTTAATCCTAATCTTTAATCTTAGTCTATCATTAACTTTAACCTGTACAGCATGGAAACCGCTTATTTTCAGTCCAACATCACTCTAACATTCTTTAATTTTGCAATGTTTCTGAAGATAGTCTTTAAATTTCTTCCAATCTTCCTCCATCGACTCTTCTCCCTGGTCACGGATTCTACCAGTCATTTCCGCCAATTCCATATAGTCCATAAGTTTCATCTGCCATTCCTCCAGCGTGGGAAGTTCTTGTGTCTTCCAATACTTTGCGATGAGTATTCTTGCTGCTGTTGTTGCATACATAAAGAAAGTTCTATCCTTTTTTAACACCATTTGGCCGACTATGCCCAGGAGAAAGGCCTCTGGTTTCTTAGGGAAGGTATACTTAAATACCTTTTTAAATTCATTATATATCATTTCCCAGAAAGCCTTAATCTTTGGGCACGTCCACCAAAGGTGAAAAAATGTACCTTCAGTTTCTTTACATTTCCAACATTTATTATCGGGCAAGTGATAGATTTTTGCAAGCTTGACTGGGGTTATGTACCACCTGTATATCATTTTCATAATATTCTCTCTTAAGGCATTACATGCCGTAAATTTCATACCTGTGGTCCATAACTGTTCCCAGTCAGCAAACATAATATTATGTCCAACGTCCTGTGCCCATTTAATCATAGCCGATTTTACCGTTTCATCCTGAGTATTCCATTTCAGCAGCAAGTTGTACATTCTTGACAAATTCTTAGTTTTGGGTTCTAACAATTCTGTTTCTAATTTGGATCTTTCCACCTGGAAGCCAATTTTCCTGTCCAATTTAAATGCCTCCATTATCTGATAATAATGAAGCCAGTCTCGCACTTTATTTTTAGTTTTTCAAAACTCTGCAATTTCAGTCTATCTCCGTCTTGTTCCAAAATTTCCCAATATTTCGGCCATTTGACCTCCATATTGACCTTTTTCAAGGCTTTCGCTTCCATTGGTGACAGCCACCTTGGGGTTTTGTTTTCTAGCAAATCCTTGTATCTTAACCAAACATTAAATAGCGCTTTCCTGACAATGTGGTTTCTAAATGCTTTATGTGCTTTGACCTTATCATACCATAGATATGCATGCCATCCAAATACATTATTAAAACCTTCCAGGTCCAAAATGTCAGTGTTTTCAAGAAGTAGCCATTCTTTCAACCAGCAAAAAGCTGCTGATTCATAGTAAAGTTTGAGGTCTGGCAGGGCAAATCCACCTCTTTCCTTTGCATCTGTTAGTATTTTAAATTTTATTCTAGGCTTCTTGCCCTGCCAGACAAATTTAGAAATATCTTTCTGCCACCTCTTGAAACAATCCATTTTGTCCACAATCTGTAAAGTTTGGAACAAAAACAACATTCTAGGCAATACATTCATTTTTATCGCAGCAATACGGCCCAGCAGTGAAAGCTTCAAATTTGACCAAATTTCTAAATCTTTTTCACTTCAGACCAGCATTTTTCATAGTTATCTTTAAATAAGTTCCCATTTTTGCTGTCATGTTAATCCCCAGATATTTAACTTTCTTAACCACTGTTAAACCTGTCTCATTCTGAAACCTCTCTCTTTCAATCGGTGTTAAATTTTTCTCTAAAACCTTGGTTTTTGACTTATTCAATTTAAATCCTGCCACTTGACCAAATTCTTGAATCAGTTCTAGGACCCTTGTAGTACTAGATTATGGCTCCTGTAACGTCAATACTAAGTCATCTGCAAATGCTCTCAGTTTGTACTGTTTAGTTCCGACCTGTATACCTTTAACCAACTGGTCCCTTCTAATCATATTCAGCAGAACCTCCAGGACCGAAATAAAAAGAAGTGGGGAAATTGGGCAACCTTGTCGTGTCCCTTTTTCAATTTTAAGTTCTTCCGTCACAACATTATTTACAATTAGTTTAGCCTTTTGTTCTGAATAAATTGCACTTATACCATTCTCAAAACCTTGGCCTACCCCCATACCCTGTAGATTCTTCTTCATAAAATTCCAAGAAATGTTGTCAAAGGCTTTCTCCGCGTCTACAAATATCAACACTGCTTTAGTGTTTATATTCACTTCTAGTTTCTCCAAGATATCAATTATATTCCTCAAATTGTCAGACAAATGTCTTCCTGGGAGAAAGCCCGCTTGGTCTTTGTGATTCTCTTCCATCAACACTTTTTTTAAATCTCTTCGCCAAAATATCTGCAAAAATTTTGTAATCCACATTAAGTAATGAAATAGGGCGGTAGTTCTTAAGCTGTGTCTTTTCAGTCTCTGTTTTTGGTACAAGTGTGATATATGCTTCTTTCCACGACTCTGGTGCTCTCTTCCCCTCCATTATTTCGTTGCAGACCTCTTTCAATGGTTGAATTAACAGTTCTTTTAAAGATCTGTAGTATCTAGAGGTCAAGCCATCTGGTCCTGGAGATTTACCCAATTGCATATTTTGAATGGCACCTTCTATTTCCTGTTCGGTTATTCTGTAATTCAAAATTAGTTTATTTTCTTGAGATATTTTTGTAATCCATTTGTCTTCAAAAATTGGTCTAGATCTGTTTCTTTCAATGGCCCTTGAGTATATAATCGTTTAAAGTACCTCTGGAAACAACTTCTAATCTCTGCAGGGTTCTGTATATTTCTTCCTTCCACTTCTAAGTTCGTAATCGTATTTAGTTTTTGTCTCTTTTTCATTTGCCATGCCAACAATTTGCCACATTTATTGGCCGACTCAAAGGTCTTTTGTCTCATTTGTTTAATTTTCCATTCTATTTCCTGACTCATATCCATGTCCTGAGGGACAGAGAGCAAAACATTTCTCTCTCCCCTTTCTCCAGCCCAGGCAGAATCGCAAGGGGTCAGTGCATCTGGCTGGTAAGGAGATGGTCGGAGTTTGGAGCCCAGCCAGGGCTGGCAGTGGGCAGGATCCTGGCATTGCCAGGGGTTGTACTGGATGACCCTTGGGATCCCTTCCAACTCTACCATCAAGCAGCCAAAGGAAGGGGCGGGGGAGCAAGATGCAGAACCAGGGGAGGCACAACCACACACCCCAACAGCACTCTCTGGCCTGACCCACGGTGGCCTCATCCCAGCACACTTTGACCCCCCTGATTTTATTTTTCTTAATTCAGCTGCCTGGCAACCCAGCAGCCTGGCCCCTGTTTGCCAGCTGATGTCACAAAGTGCTGCTTTGCAAGCAAGCCTTATAGTGCCCTGCAAGAGGGATGCCTGTCAGATGTTGGTGATAGACTTATCAACAATGTTGAGAGGAAGTTACTCTGAAGGTAAGAGGAGCTCCAAGGCCCATAGAAATAACATTATTATTACTACCATATGTGGTGGTCCTGTCTAGAGATACAAAGATTTTGGAATATGATTTATGAAGAGATAAAGAGATTGATAGAAACTACATTTAGCAAGAAACCGGAAACGTTTTTACTAGGAATGGTTTCAGATAATATTCCCAAAAATAAAACCAGGTTATTTATGTAAGCAACGTCAGCAGCAAAGGGTTATAGTGGCAAAACACTGGAAAGATAAAAATACACCCACTAAAGATGAATGGGTAGTCAAATTGTGCGAGTACTTGGAGCTCGCAAAGCTGACAGATGCAATAAGAGATAAACCTAAAAAGATGGTGAAAGAAGAATGGGAATGTTTAAATAATTATCTAGGGTATAAGGGTTCATCAAGGTTATGTTTAGAATGATACCGCGTAGGGAAATGTTCCCTGATACCAAGATGAGGGATTCTAGGGAATGCAGATAGAGAGAATTGATAAGAATAATGATCTGTTGTGACCTTGACGGAAGCGTACAATAGATGAGTCTTGTATTTTGGCTCATCTTCCTCTTTTTTTCTCTCCCCCCCCCCTTTTTTTCTTTTTCCTTTTTTCCCCTCCTCCTCCTTCTTCTTTCCTTTTTCTTTTTTCTTTCCCATAATGGCTTATGTTCTATGCCATGTACTTTTTAGCTTTTTCATTATTATTATTATTAAGGATTTTTCTTTTGTAATTTTGGTTGTTTATATTTATCTGTATTGGTTTAAAGCAAAATAAAAGTATTAAATAAAAAGTTTTATTATTATTAGCGTCACCCGTCACTGAGGCGGGTGGCCTGGCTCCCTGTCTTGCCTTGTCCACAGCTGTCAATAACTTGGCAGGTCCCCAGATGATATTTTCTGTTGTGAATAACTGGTTGGTAACTTCCTCTGTTTTTATTTTCCTTTCTGTCTCACAGCTTCTCAAAAAGGAAGGCCACAGCAGCTGCTCTGGTGCCGTGGGGAAGCACTGCAAGTCGTGGTATGTTAATTCCATGGGAATCCATTCCCCACATGTGCCATATAGTCTCTCCCAGGGCCATGGTTTGGGAGGAAAGCCGAAGGCTCCGGTCTGCCACCACCACCACCAGCACCAGCAGCCCAGCGGTGCAAGGGGGAAACTCCGAATGTGCAGGTATGCTGTGACACGTCTTTGATTCTACCAACCAGCAATATTAAGAATCCAATTTTATTATGCAAAACCAAGAATATCTATGGTGATCCGTTGTTGCAGGGGCCGAGGGCCGGTGCGTGCTCTGCCCATTGGGCAATCTGGCTCTGCTTGGAGATGCATCCCAGAATTCTCCCACCCCATACGTCCTTCCTTCCTTCAGACAGAAGCGGACATGGTGTGTGGAACTGGACCAGGGGAAGAAGTGGCTCTCCCATTGCTGGGGGTGGGGATTGCCATTTCCTCATGCCAGCAATGGGACAGCCAGCAGGAGGCCTGATTTAGATTGTCCTGTAGTTTTGCGGGAAGAGTTTCTTTGTGGTCCACTTCTCTTCCCCCCGTCTATTGCCTTGGGGAACAGCCCCCCATCCCCCGGAACTGACTCCATGACTATGGCTTCAGAACTGCGTGAATCTATACCTACTAGTCCATACCTAAATATTTTGGGAAATAGATAGTTCTCCATGTTTGTTTGTTTTTTTTTAAATGATATTTATTAAGGTTTCAATAAAAAATTAAACAGAAAAACATAAACGAAAAATACACAATTCAAAAAAGCACAGTACATAGTCCAAAAAACAAAAAAAAAACCAAAGAAAAAACAAAATACAGGACAGAAAGAACAATTAAAAACAATATCACCCTTTCGTTTCCAACTTTAAATTTACTTGTTTTCTGGACCTCCTCATACCTCCCTCTTTTGTATTCCAGTTCGAATTGTTTGTCCAGCAATTTCTTTCCCTCTTTTAATCCCAATCTTTAATCTTAATATAATATAACATTAAAATTTTACCTCTTAAAAGCCAAATTTCCATTTCCTTAAACTTCTTTAATCCTAATCCTTAATCTTAGTTTATCTATAACTTTAAATCTTGTACAGCTGGAAAACACTCATTTTCAATCCAACATCACTCTAACATTCTTTAATTTTACAGTGTTTCTGTAGATCATCTTTGAATTTCTTCCAATCTTCCTCCACCGACTCTTCTCCCTGGTCACGGATTCTACCAGTCATTTCTGCCAGTTCCATATAGTCCATTAGTTTCATCTGCCATTCCTCCAGTGTGGGTAGCTCTTGTGTCTTCCAGTACTTTGCGATGAGTATTCTTGCTGCTGTTGTTTCGTACATAAAGAAAGTTCTATCCTTTTTTAACACCGTTTGGCCGACTATGCCCAGGAGAAAGGCCTCTGGTTTCTTCAAGAAGGTATATTTAAATACCTTTTTTAATTCATTATATATCATCTCCCAGAAAGCCTTAATCTTTGGGCACGTCCACCAAAGGTGAAAAAATGTACCTTCAGTTTCTTTACATTTCCAACATTTATTATCGGGCAAATGATAAATTTTTGCAAGCTTGACTGGGGTTATGTACCACCTGTATATCATTTTCATAATATTCTCTCTTAGGGCATTACATGCCGTAAATTTGATACCTGTGGTCCATAACTGTTCCCAGTCAGCAAACATAATGTTATGTCCAACATCTTGTGCCCATTTAATCATAGCAGATTTTACCGTTTCATCCTGAGTATTCCATTTCAGCAGCAAGTTATACATTCTTGACAAATTCTTAGTTTTGGGTTCTAACAGTTCAGTTTCTAATTTTGATTTTTCCACCTGGAAGCCAATTTTCTTGTCCAATTTAAATACCTCCATTATCTGAAAATAATGAAGCCAGTCTCGCACTTTGTTTTTAGTTTTTCAAAGCTCTGCAATTTCAGTCTATCTCCATCTTGTTCCAAAATTTCCCAATATTTCGGCCATTTGACCTCCATATTGAGCTTTTTCAAGGCTTTCGCTTCCATTGGTGACAGCCACCTTGGGGTTTTGTTTTCTAACAAATCCTTATATCTTATCCAAACATTAAACAGCGCTTTCCTGACAATATGGTTTTTAAACGCTTTATGTGCTTTGACCTTATCATACCATAGCTATGCATGCCATCCAAATACAGTGGTGCCCCGCAAGACGAACGCCTCGCAAGACGGAAAACCCGCTAGACGAAAGGGTTTTCCGTTTTGAGGCGCTCATAAAGCAATTTCCCTATGGGCTTGCTTCGCAAGGCGAAGCCCATAGGGAAATCTCCGAGGACCTCTTTTAAATGCTAGCGGTGGGGAGCAAAGCCTTCCCCCCTCCGGCCTTCAGAAGAGGTCCAGGAAGGCTGGCGGGGGCCGAACGCTTTCCCCCCCACCGCCAGCATTTTAAAAGCAGTCCGGGATAGCAGGGAAGCGCTTCCCGCTATCCCGGACGGCTTTTGAAGGCAGGAGAGGTCCGCGAAGCCTGGGCGCGCTGATCTCAGCGCGCGCAGGCCTCGGCATGCCGGCAACTCTCCGCAAGCAGCGGCAGCGCTGCCGCTGCTCGCGGAGAGGTCCGCGAAGCCTGGGCGCGCTGATCTCAGCGCGCGCAGGCTTCGGCATGCCGGCAGCTCTCCGCAAGCAGCGGCAGCGCTGCCGCTGCTCGCGGAGAGGTCCGCGAAGCCTGGGCGCGCTGATCTCAGCGCGCGCAGGCCTCGGCATGCCGGCAGCTCTCCGCAAGCAGCGGCAGCGCTGCCGCTGCTCGCGGAGAGGTCCGCGAAGCCTGGGCGCGCTGATCTCAGCGCGCGCAGGCTCCGGCATGCCGGCAACTCTCCGCAAGCAGCGGCAGCGCTGCCGCTGCTCGCGGAGAGGTCCGCGAAGCCTGGGCGCGCTGATCTCAGCGCGCGCAGGCTCGGCATGCCGGCAACTCTCCGCAAGCAGCGGCAGCGCTGCCGCTGCTCGCGGTGAGGTCCGCGAAGCCTGGGCGCGCTGATCTCAGCGCGCGCAGGCGTCGGCATGCCGGCAACTCTCCGCAACCACCGGCCGTGCTGCCGCTGCTTGCGGAGAGGTCCGCGAAGCCTTGGCTGGACAGCTTTTGAAGGCAGGTGGGGGGGACAAAGACTTTCGCCCCCGCCAGCCTTCAGAAGAGGTCCAGGACCTCTTCTGAAGGCTGGCGGGGGCAAAGTCTTTGTCCCCCTGCCTGCCTTCCCAGGAGCTTTAAATTGCCCCGGACAGCGGAGAAGTCCTCCGCTGTCCCGGGGCAATTTTAAATACCGCCCGCCAGCATTTTAAGATCGCCCCGGACAGCGGAGAAGCCCTCCGCTGTCCGGGGTTTTAAAATGCTGGGGTGGAGTGGGAAGAAAAGCCCTTGTCCCCCCAGCCTTCAGAAGAGGTCGGGGGACAGACTGTCCCCGGACCTGGTCTGAAGTCGGTTTCCCTAGGAACGCATTAATTGATTTTCAATGCATTCCTATGGGAAACCGTGCATCGCAAGACGAAAAACTCGCAAGAAGAAAAAACTTGCGGAACGAATTAATTTCGTCTTGCGAGGCACCACTGTACATTGTTAAAACCTTCTAGGTCCAAAATGTCAGTGTTTTGAAGAAGTAGCCATTCTTTCAACCAGCAGAAAGCTGCTGATTCATAGTAAAGTTTAAGGTCTGGCAGGGCAAATCCACCTCTTTCCTTTGCATCCGTTAGTATTTTAAATTTTATTCTGGGCTTCTTGCCCTGCCAGACAAATCTAGAAATATCTTTCTGCCACCTCTTGAAACAATCCATTCTGTCCACAATTTGCAAAGTTTGAAACAAAAACAACATTCTAGGCAATACATTCATTTTTATCGCAGCAATACGGCCCAACAGTGAAAGCTTCAAATTTGACCAAATTTCTAAATCTTTTTTCACTTCAGCCCAACATTTTTCATAGTTGTCTTTAAATAAATTCCCATTTTTTGCTGTCATGTTAATCCCCAGGTATTTAACTTTCTTAACCACTGTTAAACCTGTCTCATTTGCAGATGAGAGCATTTGCAGATGACTTAGTATTGACGTTACAGGAGCCAGAATCTAGTACCAAAAGGGTTTTAGAACTGATTCAAGAATTTGGTCAAGTAGCAGGATTTAAATTGAACAAGTCAAAAACTAAGGTTTTAGAGAAAAATTTAACACCGATTGAAAGAGAGAGGTTTCAGAATGAGATAGTTCTCCATGTTTGGGCTTCAGTTTAGGCATACAGTTGGCAGAAATACATTGCATTTCAGGTTCTTTCTTTGCCTTCTTAGCCCATATTTCTCCTAATTTCTCCAGGGATGAGGCTTCAGCTCCGGCTCCCGGGACGAAGAGCAAGATACCATCCTGGCGGTTCCCGGCTGAGGACCCTCGCACCAGTTCCCCACTGCCCTGTCTCCGTGCGGGCATGGCTCCTCCCCGGCCCTGCCTGCCACAGAAGCAGCAGACAAGGTTTCCTCCAATTTGAAGAACATCTCGAGTTATTTTAGAGAGGGAGGAAACCTTGGCTGCTGCTTCTGAGCAAGGCCAGCCGGGGCGGAGCCAAGATGCCCGTACGGAGGCGGAGGCCAGGTTGCGGGAACTTGTAAGATCAGGTAGGAGGAAATGCCCCTCTTCCCAGGTTCCCACCCTCCTGCCCCAGACTGGGGCTAGCGTGGCTGGGAGCGCCGGCTGATGTCTCCTTTGCTTTGCAGCGAGGGAACAACTCAGCCTGGGAGCTGCCGCATCCCAGGAGGGACTGGAGCCCAGGTGGAGGATACCTGCCTCGGAGGTAATGGGACAGCGGGAAGGAGGGGGAAGGAGATAATGGGACAGGGGGAAGCAGCCCTTAGCGTGAGTTCTCCCCTGCTTTAAAGATCCCTTCTTTCTTGCAGGATCTCCCCCCTGCACCGCTGTGGCTGCTGCCCAAGCCTCCTCCCAGAAGACCGTAGGATGTTCCGGCGGAACCATAATAAATGGATGCATTTAGCTGAAGTTGCTAATGTCTCTCATTTTTGTCTGCGTGAAACATATGATATGCACACTACCTTAGGAAATTGTCTGATCCCAGTTTGTACACAGCCTTTCCATATGGCACATGCCACACACATGGGAAAGTGGTTTTCTAAATGGATTCCTGAAGGTATCATTGGTTATACCAATCTCCATGATTGGGGACAGGTGAAACAAGGCCCTCTGTCTGGTTCCCTGTAACCTCACTCCTCGCAATGAAGGAACCGCCAGAAGGCCCTCGGCGCTGGACCTCAGTGCCCGGGCTGAACGATGAAGACCATTGTAGGAAAGAGGTACCTCTGGAACGCCCTCTAGTGACCTACCAGCAGCTCCCCAACCCACAGTGAGAGGGACCTGTTCCTTAGATTACCTGGGGCAGGGATGCCCTACTGTTCTTACTTCCTCAGGTCCTTTTTGGATTCCAGGTCACTGTACCCATCCCTATAGGCTAAGACATGCGCTGGCACCAAGGCCTGCAGAATCCCCTTCCAGACTTTGCAAGGACCATGACCCTGACTCCGCCTCTACAGGCTCATCAGGCTCGCCCTCTCCTCCATTAAGTCCTAATCCTCTTTTAAAGAGGGACACAGTACAAGTTCAGCGTCAACGGGGAATGGGAGAAGAACCTTCCTGCATGAGAGCAGAAAGGAGATGCTCTCGTCCGGAAGTGGGTGGGCCAAGCTTTCTTTGGGAGCAATGTCAGGGCAGGGGCATTGGGCATCCGTTCTCTACGTCTGCCAGGAGGATCCCAAGTCCTCCTTCCTCCACAGGGCCACGCTTCAAGAGATTGTTGTCCGTTGTCACTTTCCAAGCTGAAGGACAAGAGCGAAACTTCGTCATCCATGGCGTTGCAGTCCGGCCTTTCTCCTTCCAAGTTGCTAGAGGAATCCATGTCTCCAGGGATGCCACGCATGATGTCTGAATGTGCCAGTCCCTGACGAGGAGAATGGCATCACTGGCATTCTTTCAATAAAGAAATTGGAGGAAATTGTTGCTTTCGATATGCCGAGGATCAAATAATATTTATTAATAAATGTTGTTAAAATGAAAAAATAATGAGCAGTTTTCTTTCCTTCTCTGCCTTCTCTGACTGCTGCTGGGAGCTCTGCTTAAGAAGGCTGAAGCCAGCCGATTCTCAAAAGCTCCTTTGTGTCCTTGAAGCTGCAGGTGAAGTCTCTCCACCATCTCCCCCTTCAGGCTGCTGTTCAGCAGGTGAAGCTGATTCCTGACCCATGACACTATTCGCTGCCCCAAGGAGCCCCTACTCCTGCCAGTTGGGTGCCAACTTTCGGGGAGCAAGATGGTGGAAGTGTTGGACCAACCGGGGAGAGGGGAGGCATGGACATGCGAGGCATCTTCCCATGAGGATTTTCTATGAAGTCCATGTCCATGAAATTGGCCGTAGCCCACAATTTCTTTCTGTTATAGCCCAGGTCTGTAAGGCTGGTTTCTCTGGAGGTGTTACAGTGGGTGGTGGACACAACCAGGTCCTTGGAGAAGTTTGTGTGAGGCATCTGGAAATTAGCAATGCTAGCCAAGCCCTGGCTCCGTTGCCCACCAAAATCGAGGAAATTCTGTTTCTGGGCAGATTGCCAAAGGCCCAACATTCACTCTCCCTTTCCAAGTTTCTTGGGAAGACGGGAATCAGGCATAGCCCACGTCTGTAAGCTGCTTCCCAGGCGCTTGGAAGGGGTGGTGCGAGGCATCTGGGCCTTAGCAGTACAAGCCAAGCCCTGGCTTTGTGGCTCACCTAGACTGAGGGAATTCTGTTTCTGGGCAGCTGGCAGAGCCCCTCTTCGCTTGGCTGGGGACTGCCGCATGCCCCGGCCTCCACAGGAGACTCACAGTCCCTCTTCATCTCTTTTCCCTTTGGGCCACCTTCAAACGAGGGCAATGGCGGCTGGACTTGCGATCCTAATCTGAAGAGCTGCCCAGCCCAGCTTCAGGTCCTTCACCAAGTGCCCCCTTCTAGAACCCACCGCTCTCAACCGACTCTCAACTGCCTCCCCCCTAACATTCATTCTCCCTTTCCAAGCCTCCTCGAATCGTCTCTCTCCACCAGAATTCCTCTCTCTCTCTTCCCCCTCCCTCCCTGCTTGACATTCCCTTGGCAATTCTAATAGCATCACCTTAATAGCATCACCTTAATTGCACACAGTATTGTTATAGATTATGGGGGGGATCCCACCAAAAACTAGAAATTAATAGATGGTAGGATTTGGGATTATTTGGGCTGTGAAGGAAGAAATACAAGCTACAGCGGAATTCCTGGGCTAGCCTATGCAAAAGGACCTGGTCAAGCAAAGGCCTTTAAGAAACAATTCAAGGCCTTGGAAAGCCTAACTGGAAATGCCAGAGAACTCTGTCTTGGTGTGAGGTGGCAGGAAAAGAGAGGTTTTGAGCAAGGGGTACTGGAAAGAAGAAGAACAAGGAGGAGGAGGAGGAGGAGGAGGAGGAGGAAGAGAGTCTGGAATCTGACTTGGGAAGACTGGCTGGCCTGCTGTGGGAGTCAATTCCCTCTTGCAATGACTCTGCTGTAAGATCTGGATTCCCTCCATGCAGACTGAAGATGTAAACAGGTGAATAAACCGTATTTCTTAAAGCAAGGACAGTCTCCGCCATGTCTCAGTTCTCTAAAGGAGAGAGCCTGGAACCCCATGGGCTCTTGCCACCGCTTGGCAGAGAGAGGGGAGGCACCTAACATTTGGAACAATATTTTATACACCCTGCTCCCTGAAACCACCCGGTTTGAAGTACTTGAGCTTTCCGTTCTTGGTTCCTAGGAAACCAGGGAAAGAAAGCTGCAGGTTCCTCATCCCTGTTCTAAAAAGCAGGTGTCTTCCCCCAAACGATCCTGGGAATTGTAGTTTGTCAGGGGTTCTGGGGATTGTAGGTCCGTGAGAGGGAAGCTGCAATGACCCAGATCGTTTGTGGAACATCATGTGCTTTAAAGGCTCATTGGATGCCCTTTTCAACATGGAATTGTCGAGTTGGGAGGGACCCTGAGGGTCATCTAGACCAACCCCCTGTCTCAGCTAAATCATCCATGGCAGATGGCCACCCCACCTCTGCTGAAAAACCTCCAAGGAAGGAGAGTCTACCGCCTTCCGAGGGATTTCTTCCCACGGTCAAACAGCTCTTGCTGTCAGAAAGTTCTTCCTGAAGTTGAGTCGGAATCTCCTTTCTTGTAGCCTGAAACCACGGCTTCAGGTCCTGGGAGCTTCTGGAGCAGGAGAAAACAAGCTTTCTCCCTCCTCCTTGTGACGGCCCTTGAGATATTGTCAGGGCTGCATGGTGTGGCTCTCATATCCATGTCCTGAGGGACAGAGAGCAAAACATTTCTCTCTCCCCTTTCTCCAGCCCAGGCAGAATTGCAAGGGGTCAGTGCATCTGGCTGGTAAGAAGATGGTCGGAGATTGGAGCCCAGCCAGGGCTGGCTGTGGGCAGGATCCTGGCATTGCCGGGGGTTGGACTAGATGACCCTTGGCATCCCTTCCAACTCCACCATGCTATGATTCTATTGAGCAGCTAAAGGAAGGGGCGGGGGAGCAAGATGCCCAACAAGGGGAGACACAACCACACACCCCAACAGCACCCTCTGGCCTGATCCATGGTAGAGGCCAAGCACATTGACCCCCCTGATTTTATTTTTCTTAATTCAGCTGCCTAACAACCCAGCAGCCTGGATTGCCAGCTGATGTCACAAAGTGCTGCTTTGCAAGCAAGCCTTATAATGCCCTGCAAGAGGGATGCCTGTCAGATGATGGTGAGACACTTGGCAAACCAAATGTTCCCATCAGCAATTATGAGAGGGAACTCTGAAGGTAAGAGGAGCTCTGAGGCCCAGAGGAGGGGAGTGGCATAGAAATAACATTATTATTATTATTATTATTATTATTAGCATCACCTGTCCCTGGCTTGCCTTGTCCACAGTTGTTGATAGCATGGCAGGTCCTCAGCTGCGGTCCACAGATGATATTTTCTGTTGTGAATAACTGGTTGGTAACTTCCTCTGTGTTTCCAGTGGTACCCTCAGGTTGAGCACTTGGTTGGATTCCGGATGTCCCTCTCAAACCCTGGAGAGCTGCTTCTTACAGCCTCAGACGGACTTTTCCCATTGAAAGTAATGGAGAGTGGATTGAGGCCCAGAGGAGAGGAGTGGCATAGAAATAACATTATTATTATTATTATTATTATTATTATTATTATTAGCATCACCTGTCCCTGGCTTGCCTTGTCCACAGTTGTTGATAGCATGGCAGGTCCTCAGCTGTGGTCCACAGATGATATTTTCTGTTGTGAATAACTGGTTGGTAACTTCCTCTGTGTTTCCAGTGGTACCTCAGGTTAAGTACTTAATTGGTTCCGGAAGTCCCTTCTTAACCTGAAGCGTTCTTAACCTGAAGCGGACTTTCCCATTGAAAGTAATGGAAAGTGGATTGATCCGTTCCAGACAATGAAAAGCACCCCCTAAAACAGCAATTTAACACGAATTTTACTGTCTAACAAGACCATTGATCCATAAAATGAAGGCAATAATCAATGTTACTGTACTATAAAATAAATAAGACAGTATTTTAGATGAAAAAAAATTAACTTTTTTTTCTTCTTACATGCACTGATGGGGGGGGGGGGCTTTTATCCATTTCTGCAGTCCCACAATCAACCAGTAGCTGAACTGGGTTCCACACAGTCACAAAAACAAGTCACAAAAATGAAGTCACAAGCCACAGTCACAAAGGCAAAGTCACAAGTCAGTTCCATAAAATGAAGAACTAGTCACAGTCAAAAAACCAAAAAAGCCACACAAACCAAAAAGCAAAAAAATAGCAAAAACAAAACGCCACCCGCGTCCCCAATAAAACAGTAAAAAATGAAAATGTGGTTTTTTCCTTACCTGCGCTGATGTTTGGATGGGGGCTCAGGGTCCTCTTCCACAATCACAATCGGCTTGGCATTCGCGGAGGCCTCAGAGAGCTCCGTAGGCCCCGCGGATGTCGTGGCTTGGCTCCAGGCCTCTGCAGGCCCCAGGGATGTTGGGGCTTGGCTCCAGGCCTCTGCAGGCCCCAGGGATGTTGGGGCTTGGCTCCAGGCCTCTGCAGGCCCCAGGGATGTTGTGGCTTGGCTGCAGGCCCCTGCAGGCCCCAGGGATGTCGTGGCTTGGCTCCAGGCCCCTGCAGGCCCCAGGGATGTCGTGGCTTGGCTCCAGGCCTCTGCAGGCCCCAGGGATGTTGTGGCTTGGCTGCAGGCCCCTGCAGGCCCCAGGGATGTTGTGGCTTGGCTCCAGGCCCCTGCAGGCCCCAGGGATGTCGGGGCTTGGCTCCAGGCCTCTGCAGGCCCCGCGGATGTGGGGGCTTGGCTCCAGGCCCCTGCAGGCCTCAGGGATGTCGGGGCTTGGCTCCAGGCCTCTGCAGGCCTCAGGGATGTCGGGGCTTGGCTCCAGGCCTCTGCAGGCCCCAGGGATGTCGGGGCTTGGCTCCAGGCCTCTGCAGGCCCCAGGGATGTCGGGGCTTGGCTCCAGGCCTCTGCAGGCCCCGCGGATGTGGGGGCTTGGCTCCAGGCCCCTGCAGGCCTCAGGGATGTTGGGGCTTGGCTCCAGGCCCCTGCAGGCCCTGCGGATGTTGTGGCTTGGCTCCAGGCCTCTGCAGGCCCCAGGGATGTTGGGGCTTGGCTCCAGGCCTCTGCAGGCCTCTGCGGATGTTGGGGCTTGGCTCCAGGCCTCTGCAGGCCCCAGGGATGTTGGGGCTTGGCTCCAGGCCTCTGCAGGCCCCAGGGATGTTGGAGCTTGGCTCCAGGCCTCTGCAGGCCCCAGGGATGTTGTGGCTTGGCTCTAGGCCTCTGCAGGCCCCAGGGATATCAGGGCTTGGCTCCAGGCCTCTGCAGGCCCCAGGGATTTTGTGGCTTGGCTCCAGGCCTCTGCAGGCCCCAGGGATGTTGTGGCTTGGCTCCAGGCCTCTGCAGGCCCCAGGGATGTCTGGGCTTGGCTCCAGGCCCCTGCAGGCCCCAGGGATGTTGTGGCTTGGCTCCAGGCCTCTGCAGGCCCCAGGGATGTCTGGGCTTGGCTCCAGGCCCCTGCAGGCCCCAGGGATGTTTTGGCTTGGCTCCAGGCCCCTGCAGGCCCCAGGGATGTTGGGGCTTGGCTCCAGGCCTCTGCAGGCCCCAGGGATGTTGGGGCTTGGCTCCAGGCCCCTGCAGGCCCCAGGGATGTTGGGGCTTGGCTCCAGGCCCCTGCAGGCCCCAGGGATGTCGGGGCTTGGCTCCAGGCCTCTGCGGATTTTTCAAAGATGGAGATGGTAGTTTAAGTCCCCAGCAGCAAGGTTCCAAATTTTCCATTGGTCTTCTTGATATATGAACAATAACATCTTTGCACTGTCCCAAAACCTGAGATTGAAAGTGTGGATCCTATTTGGACAGAATCAGGGGATGGCTTGAACTGTTACAGTCACCCCTATCAGAATTCAGTTGGATCTGGAGTGTTGGTAAGACTGCAGAAGCCCTGCATTCTGAAGCTCTGAGTTAAGAACAGAACCAGAACCTTTTAAATTGACAGTTATAGCCTGTGGATGGCTTCAAGAAGGATCCTTGTCCTTTAATTCTCCCAACTTAGAGATGTTGAAAGCAAGTAAAAAAAGAGAAGCTATAAAGTCTCGAGGGAGAAGGCTCCACTTTACCAGAAGCAAGAGGCATTTTAGGGCATATGTTGGAGGGTATTGTGTGGTTAGGCTATATAAGGGCAGTCCCTTATATTGGTGGGGGGTAGGAATTGGGGGGACTAAAAATTACTTTACCCAGTGCAGAAATGGCTTCCAAGCAATCCATTTGAATGATCAAATAGAAGCGATCTGTAAGTGCAAACATTCCCAAAAGAATATTGAAAGGAAATGATCCCCACTTGCTGAATTTCTGCCTGCCAGAAGGATGGTAAATTTAGAAACCAGTCCAAAATAGAAGGAAGGAAGGAAGGAAGGAAGGAAGGAAGGAAGGAAGGAAGAAGAGATAAGAAGAAATTCTGCTTCCTCATGGAGCTTTGCCTCCAACATCCTAACGGGGTTTGCATAACCCCTCATCCCCCTGAGAGTTCCAATATGGGATGTTTATGGTGCTTTAATGCCCAGGGAATGGCAGGTGGAGGTGATGATTGATTAAATTTGTATGCCACCCTTCATGCCGGCCATTTCAGCAACAGAACCCTCCAGGTCCGAAGGCCTCCTTTGCACCCTCCATTCTAGAGGTGGAAAGGAGCCCAGAGACCCCTTAGACCCCCAGCAAGAGGCCGAGGGAGACAGAGCTTTGCAAGCGGAGGCTGCTGCTCCAGTAAAGGTCTGGCTGCTTCTGTGGGAGCCATTGGCAGCAGCTCCGCCCACCCCAGAAGATGATGAGCTCTATTGGCTAGCCTGGAGTGTCAATCAGCCAGCTAGGGAGGGAGGGCTCAACTTGCAAGGTGCCTAGCCAGGTAGGCTGCTCAAGACAAGTAGGTGAGGGTGAGGGGGAAAAGCTTTTACATTTTATTTTTTTTGCCTTCAAGAATGTGACCAAAGGCACCCCAAAGGGAGCAGGGGACTCTGTGCCCCCGAAAGGGAACCAATCCATCTTTGGAAGGTGCTATGTACAGTGGTACCTCGGGTTCAGTACTTAATTCGTTCCGGAGGTCCGTTCTTAACCTGAAACTGTTCTTAACCTGAAGCACCACTTTATCTAACGGGGGCCACCCGCTGCCGCTGCGCCGCTGGAGCACGTTTCCGTTCTCATCCTGAAACAAAGTTCTTAACCCGAGGTACTATTTCTGGGTTAGAGGAGTCTGTAACCTGAAGCGTATGTAACCCAAGGTACCACTGTACTGAGTTGAATAGGATCCAAAATGCAGCAGTCTGATTGGTCCTAGAACAATAGGATCCAGAATGCAGCAGTCTGATTGGTCCACGAGAGTCACCCAATCCAGCTCCAGGTGGAAGGGAATCTGCAACCTGATTGGCCTACAGGAGAATTCCGGAATTAGCCAATCACGTGGGGCCCATTGTGTAAATTATGTATATAAAGCAGACATTCTGGGGGAACTTCCATTCCTCCTCACCACTATGAGCTGAATAAAGAGCATGAAATCCACTCTCGACTCCGAGTATATTTCATAGGCGACGAAGGTGGGATAACGCTGAGCTGACCGCCACACACAGCACCGCAACACCGCCACCTGCCGCACTGCTGCCTTGCACCGTGTATCCAGGCTTCAGCTTTGGGACCCAAGGAACTCAGAATGGCAACCGACAGCAGCTTCTCGCCGTTCAACCCAGCATCCGGAGACTGGGAAGCGTATGCCTCCCGTTTCACCTTCCTCCTAGAAGCCAAAGGGGTCACCAACGAAGACGCCAAGAAGAGGGCGATATTCTTCAGCGTCTGCGGAGAGAAGACGTTTGAAATCGCCCGGGCTCTCCTTGCGCCTGAAGACGTCGCTACTGTTCCTTACAATACAATAATGGAACGGCTGAAGGGGCACACCTTAGCAGCCCCCGATTTTCCAGGAGGACCTCTGGGCTCCCTGGCCCTTCTAGCCTTCTTCCAGGAGAGGCTGGTTCTCCATCCTCGGCCGCCTGGGCCTTGGGACCTCAGCTGGAGTCCCCCAGGAAGTGGCAGAGCCTCCTTCCGTCTCTGCACAGCTTCTTCCTGGGGCATAGACTCACCAAGTGCCCCTCTTTTCCAGGGACTGTCCTGGATTTACAGAAACCGTCTCGGTTCCTGGTTTGACCCCAGAACACCCCACTTTTCCGTAAAGGTATAGGGACCCCTGACCATTAGGTCTAGTCACAGACAAATTTGGGGTTGCGGCGCTCATCTCGCTTTATTGGCCGAGGGAGCCGGCGTACAGCTTCCGGGTCATGTGGCCAGCATGACTAAGCTGCTGCTGGCGAAGCAGAGCAGCGCACGGAAACGCCGTTTACCTTCCCGCCGTTTACCTTCCCGCCTATTTATCTACTTGCACTTTTTGGTGTGCTTTTGAACTGCTAGGTTGGCAGGAGCAGGGACTGAGCAATGGGAGCTCACTCCGTCGCGGGGATTCGAACCACCGACCTTCTGATCAGCAAGTCCTAGGCTCTGTGGTTTAACCCACAGCACCACCCGTGTCCCTTCACTTTTCCTTAGGATGTCCCTATTTTCATCAGAAAAATGTTGGAGGGTATGGAGTTATGTGACCCCTGAACCACGGAGCGAAGTACAGGTAAATATACAGCCTTTACAGGATGTCTGAAGGCAGTTGGTTAATCTTTTATTATGTTTCTATATATGTTGAAAACATCCCACAAACCACTGCCCACCCAACAAGCAGCATACATACATCACAGAAAGAGGCAGTCTTGTCTCCTGGCTTGTCTCTTGTCATGATACCTGACAATGCTTGCTGGTTGCCCTTTCCTGGCCAGTCTGAGCCGTTCCCTTGAAATGGTAAAAACCTCAGTTCTTGAATCGATTGTCACAGATCTACCCCTATTTATGTGAGAGGTTTATAGCTTTGGAAGGATTTGTAAGTGAAAAGAACTATTGGGAAAGGTTTTTCCTTCAACTGCAGAGTATATATCTGGGGTCATAAAGAGGGTCAAGATGGCTTTGGGATTGCTCTGTGAACTCAAAGAAAGTGTCTTTTTTCAGGAAAGAGTTTATAATTTTTGAATGGTGAAGGATTGGTTTTTCTCTAGGGTGCGTGTCTGCTATGTGTGCATCTTAAGATTTGTGTAACACTCATGGCAACTTCTGTTGCCCAGCGCCTGCAAGCCCCCTACTGTGACATCATAGGATGCTTGCAGTGTTGTTGTTTTTCAAAACCCACCAGCGTCTGCTCAGCAGGAGCAGAACTGAGCAGCTTCTGCGAGTGAAGTGAAGGGCTATTTCTCAGAAGGGGAAAACCTGGGAGAGGCTAGGGTTCAAATACCTCCTTATTAAGCTGTGAAGCTAACTGGGTGACCTGGGGCCAGGTTGTGGGGGTTAAACGAGAAGGTGAGAACTATGTATGTCATCTTGAGCTACTTGGAGAAAAAGATGGGATATCAATTCAGACGCCCTCAGAAGGTGGTGGACTCATCTTCTTTGGAGGTTTCTTATATACAGAGGTTTCTGCTGTAGACTGCCTCCTGTGATGTATGTATGATGATTTTGGGGTGGTCTTTGGCTAAGGGGCTGGGCAATGTCAAAAGTCTTTAAAGGTTCCTGCACACTTTGGTTCAGGATCTCTTGGTTCTTGGAAGAAGGGGAGGCTTTGCTTTCTGCCTTGCTTTCCACTGGATCCTGCTTCCATCCATTCTTCTCTGACTGATCATGGACTTAAGGGAATCAGAGTCCCATGGGGAGTTGGGGAGCAAAAGCCAAACCCTAATTTTTACATCATACTGAAGTGAGAAGGCTGACTAATATGCCCACAAGGTTTCGGTGGCAACAATAGTAGTTTGTTGTTGTTGTTTTTGCAATAAGAAAAGAATAAAATTGTGTACCACACAACTACCGTATTTTTCGCTCTATAAGATGCACCCAACCATAAGACGCACCTAGTTTTTAGAGGTGCTATGATGTTCATATACTGCTTGTGGGCTTCCCACAGGCATCAAGCTGGCCACTGTGTGGCCACAGTGCTGGCCACTGTCTCTGCGCAGCACCTCCTGTGAAGCGCCATTCGCTCCATAAGACGCACTCACATATCTCACATATTTACTTTTTAGGAGGAAAAAGGTGCGTCTTATGGAGTGAAAAATACGGTAGGTTGTTGTATTGCTTGCTGGCTGGTGGCTGCTTAAGCAGTTGGAAACGATAAATAATAATGATGTCAGAAAAAACATAACTGTGGACCTGACAGCCTATGATAATACAGTACTGGACTGTGTGCAGTGTATTCACAACACACACAAACACAACACAGTGCTAACACAGACAGACAAGGAATACTGAACACAGCTGTAAAAAACAACTTACAAACTTTACCTAAACACTAAAAGCCAAAGGAGTTTTCTGTATCATTTAGGCCACATATTTATTTATTTAAATATATTTTAAAGCATTTATAAACTTTTTAAAAAAAATCTCCAAGTAGTGTGCAACATAGAAACAAGTTCATTAAAGCAAAAATACAACACTATAAACACTTACGTATCCCTGATATTTGCAGTTTTTTGTACTAGTAGTGTAAGATTAAGCAGACTTAGGTGGAATTAAGTCCGATCAAAATAAACAGGACTCCTTTTCTAAGTAACTATGTTATATAGACAGCTTGGAACTATAGCTGACCACAGGAAGAGCTCAGTATCAGTAAATATAATCCATTTGCCCCAACAGTTTCTACCAGATTATTGCATAAATATGAAGATAAACCCTCAGTCTCTAATTGATATGAAGCCAATCTGTGTTCCAAAGTTCTCACCATCACGGACATGAGAATAGAATTTATCAGGGCAACATGATGTACAGACAGTTACATTTTGGTTCTGGTCTGTTACAGAGTCATCCTGTATGTTCTGAGGCAGAACCCCTCCAGTCTCCAGAAGAATACTAATAAAGAAAGAAAAAGGGATGATGGATTATTAAATGGACAGTTATTAGAGGGTAGTTATTATATATACACAAGATATTACTTCCAATATCTTAGGGTTAAAATCTTTTCATATGGCACTAAGCCCCAGGACCTTCTTCCACCTACAGTGGTGCCTCGCAAGACGAAATTAATCCGTTCCGCGAGTCTCTTCGTCTTGCGGTTTTTTCGTCTTGCGAAGCACGGCTATTAGCGGCTTAGCGGCTATTAGCGGCTATTAATGGCTTAGCGGCTTAGCGGCTTTAAGAAAAAGGAAACAAACTCGCAAGAACTCGCAAGATGTTTCGTCTTGCGAAGCAAGCCCATAGGGAAATTCGTCTTGCGGAACGACTCAAAAAACGGAAAACTCTTTCGTCTAGCGAGTTTTTCGTCTTGCGAGGCATTCGTCTTGCGGGGCACCACTGTATAGTGTGTTTAAAATTGGGAAGTTCTGATTTATAACTGGGGATCATAAGATAACATGTAACCTTAAACATGTAATATGGGAGAGTATATAGTGGGGGCCTACAGCTTCTTCCAAAAACACCCCCAAATGCGGCAAAGGGGTGCAATGCTCCTCACTGCCAGAGAGGCCGAGATTAAATGCTGACCACCAATCATGGCTCAGCCAGGAGAGCCTGACTCTTAACTTCAGGGTCATGGGTTGAAGCCCCACTTTGGCTGACGTTTTCCTGCATTGCAGGGGGCTGGATTGTCCTTGTGGTCCCTCCGAGCTCTACAATCCTGTGATGCTAAAGGAAGAGTGAAGAGCCTAAGCTCTGCCACAAGCTCCATAGCGGCAGCAGCCCCCCCTTCTGCTCTGCTTTCGTTGGGACTCCTAAGTGGTGGACATACTATCAAAGGCTCATTGGCATGGATAGCCAAGGCCATCGCTACCAACAACGCTCTTTGGAAAGCAGGACAGTGGATGGGAAAGGCCTCCTTAGAGGACAGTGCAGTAAACTGGGTGCAGATAGTACAGATAGTCAGAATTGGCCCTTGGGTGTACAACTGATTAAAACTGTGGTGCCTGATTCAGCCAAGGAAAGCAGAAGGCTGCTTCTGCGGGGAAAGGGATGGGCAGGGAGACAAAGAGCCCCACCCTCTTCTTCTTCTTCTGTAATGGGATCCATTAACCAAAAGGGAGCAAAACACACAGAGTGAATTTTTCACAGCCCCACATTTGTGATGTGCCAAACACCAAGAACTCTCCCAATTAAGAATAAGCATAACCAAGCTCACCGTGTTGCTCTTCTGAGGTCAACGTACGGGGTTGACGATTCATAAAGTCTTACGCACTTGGGATCAATCCTAAGAAAACTTTTTGCCGATTCCCGAGGCAGTTTAAAGCAACAGGGCCCAACCGACGGCCCCAGGACCACAAGGATATCCTTCACGTCGCAACCGTATTCAGTTACCATCGCGTTAATGACAGCCATCGATACTCCTAACAACGTGCCTTGCCAACCTTAGAAGCAAGGAAAGAAAAGGAAATCTTGCAGCTTTCAAAATTGAAAAGCAAAAGAAAACCCAACATACAAAAGATGCATTCAGACTATATGGAATTGGCGGAAATGACTGGCAGAATCCGTGACCAGGGAGAAGAGTCGGTGGAAGAAGATTGGAAGAAATTCAAAGATTACTTACAGAAATATAGCAAAATTAATGAATGTTAGAGTGATGTTGGATTGAAATTAAGTGGCTTCTAGCTGTACAGGCTTCAAAATTATATATAGATCAAGATTAAGGATTAGGATTAAAAAGGCTAAAAGAATGGAAAATTGGTTTTTAATAGGTAAAAATTTAATGTTATATTATATTAAGATTAAGGATTGGGATTAAAAAGGAGGGAAAGGAATTGCTGGACAAACAAACTGAATTGGAATACAAAAGAGGGAGGTATGAGGAGGTCCGAGAAACAAGTAAATGTAAAAGTAGTGATGAAAAGATGAATTGTTTTTAACTGTTTTTATTCTTTTTTCTTTTTGTATTCTGTATTGTGTATTTTTCTTTTTCTTTTTAAATTCTTTTTTTTTATTAATGTGATTCTTTTCATGTGAAACCTCAATAAATATCATTTAAAAAAAAACCAAAAACAAAAGTTGCATTCAATGTAAGTGAACTTTTAAATAGGTGTAAGCATGCAAAATAGGAAGTATGGGTTGATGGGTCCAATTAGGCATGATGGAAGCAACAGTATTTGTTCTTTAAGTGTGTCTGCCACATTTACATGTGAGGAAGCCAGAAACTAGCAGCAATCAATAGAATAAGAAAGCTAGCCACTATGGTCTGCATTGCTGACAAACATCTAAAGAAGCAGGTAAGTTTTGGCACTTTTAAGTCAGTGTTTTTTATTCACACAACTTTCCCAGTTGCGCCTCAGCTGTGTCATATCTACGGGAAACTGCCAAGAGTAGACCCACATCCCATGTCATTCTGGCCTCCTTCGGGAGAAAGAGTGGAATATAAATTCAACAAATAAAATAACTGTATTTTGATTCTTCAGTTGAAAAGATATGACACAATCCAGCGGTAAACATTTTTTAAACCCCGGAAAAGTCAAAGGGTCTTATCTTTGGCTGCATCAGCCCATTAGAAAATACCATTACATTGGACGCTCGGGTTGCAAACGTGATCCGTGTGGGAAGCATGTCCGCAACCCGCAGCGTCGCGTCTGTGCACACATGGGTTGCAATTCGGCACTACTGCGCATAGCGCGATTTAGCGCTTCTGCGCATGCACCAAAACCTGGAAGTAACCCATTCCAGTTCTTCCAGGTTCGGCGCGGTGTGCAATCCGAAATCGCACAACCCAAAGCATCTGTAACCCGAGGTATGACTGTATAAACGTTATGCTATAAATAGAGATTCAGGATTAAACAGTGAACTGAAAACAAAAAGGTACCGACTCAAGGATAGCCATACCTGTATTTATATGGAATGAAGGATGGGGTGGGCATTGACGGGAAAATTCAGAGCAAGAAAGCACACCCAGGGCAGGGCCAGAGTAGAAACAGAGAAATGCATAAAAGGAATGACGGTTGTCCAGTGGGTTTCTTGACCTTTGCAAAGCAAAAAAAGGAGTCGTGTTACCTGAATGAGCAGCACCACATGCTTTCTTGACAGGATCAGCGAAAAGCACAGGGATGCAGTCTGCTCCAGGGGCAGCGAGTGTAACACCTTTCTGGTTAGTTACTATCCCATCGTAGTTATCCGGCTCGGCCTTTCCCATGACCCAAACATCACTGGCGTGGTTGACCTGTTAACACCAAGAGAAGGCAAGGCAATCTGAAAAACTGAAGTTAGGAGTGCTCTTTTGCTCCAGTATTTCCCGAGGCAACACTTCTGCTTAGCAATATTGAGCAAGTCAAAGTGACACAATTGACTTCCGCAGCCTCGAATGGTCTGCAGCCAGGATATTTCAAGGACTGCTTACTGCCTATTCTTCAGAAGTCCTTCTGTGTTGAACCAACACCATCTCAGGTATGGTGGGGTGCACAAGGGTGGGAGGAAGTGGTGTCAATACTTTGAAATTCCTTTCCTGACGTCTACTCATTAAATTTTCACAGGTCTGTCACATCCTTTTTCTTTATGTTTTTCTTTATAGAAGCGATGAAATACGGTAGACGTCTAAATAAGACTCTTGGACAAACGGAAAAACCCACACAGGACTACAAATTTGTTTCAACCCGCTTGTGGAAACTATCAGAGGTCACAAAGACAAAGAGAAAGGAAAAATATATGAAAACAATAAGAAGAGATGGAAAACAACAAGAAAGGATTGGACAGAATTGTGAACATTATTTGGACAGATTTGTGGACATTAAAGCAGCAGCAACAAGAGGATTGGATCCCCTTCGGAACTTGAAATATGGGTACCCCCAACAAAAACTTAAAATTCGGCTTTGTAATTTGGAATTTCTGTGATTTGATTTGATTGGTCTGTTAATAAAAATTATTTTAAAAAAAATTCCTTTCCTGAGAAAGCTTCTCCACTTTCGATTTTAATCAATAAATTAACCCTTTATGTGGCAGCCAGCCATTTATTTTCTAAACCCATTTAGTTCTGCTCAGTGGCATCCTAGGCAGAAGGACGTTTCAACTCAAGGACTGCTGTCACCGAGACAGGATGATGAGTTCTCAGATCTTTTAAAGGCTTTGTCGAAGAGGAGGCAGAAGGATATATCCTTACCAGGCAAGAAGCAGTCTGGGGCATTATCGTTTTTTCCCCGTTTCATGAGAAGTCTAAAGAACCATTCCGCTTTATCAATGTTATTACCATGAATACATTTGGGTTATTTTGGGTTAATTGCGTCAAATACCTGGGATAGCTCAGCTGGTAGAGCATGAGACGCTTAATCTCAGGGTTGTGGGTTCGAGCCCAACGTTAGACAAAGGATTCCTGCAATGCAGGGGGTTGGACTAGATGACCCTCCAGTGTCCCTTCCAACTCTGCAGTTCTTTGATTCTCATACAAATGCTGTGAATGGCCTGCATCTGAGGGGCTGCGATGACCCACTAAGTTGCATCTTGCAGGGATAAATGCCTCACCCTGAAGAGAGACTGCTTCCCATCACTCATTTAGAACTCTAAGGGTTGGACCACCAGGAGCAGGAAGAAAGTAAAGAAAAATCTGTCCCAGGATCTGTTTCCTTCTTAGTGCTCTGCATGGGCACCAGGGCAAACTAGCCATCAGCAACAGGGGGGCATCTTCCGCACATATTTTCCTCAAATACATTCTGATTGGGGTTCCCCCCCAAAAAAAATGACCCCTGAATTTTAGAATTTTATTGATATTGATGCTGCATTTTATGTTGTATTCTATGCTGTTTTTAAGTCGCATTTTAATCAGTGTTTTATATTTGCTGTTAGCCACCCTGAGCCCGGTTTTTAAACTGGGAAGGATGGGGTATAAATAAATTATTATTATTAATAGCAATAATAATAATAATAATAATAATAATAATAATAGGTGGTTAGTTCTGCCCCACTGAAGCCAGGTTGTACCTTTTCCTATTATTGTGACTCACAATTGCTACCTTCACATACTAAAAGCATTTCTATTACCAAATGGGCAATCCTATAGCAAGATCCACTGGGATGAGCAGGTTAGGGTCCATTGGATTGCTAGCTGAGCCAGGAGGTTCCTGGAGCAGCCAGACTACACAGGCTGAACTCCCTTATCCTCGGCTCAGTGGGAGACAATCTGGAGCAGGCATAGGCAAACTCGGCCCTCCAGATGTTTTGGGACTACAACTCCCATCATCCCTAGCTAACAGGAACAGTGGTCAGGGATGATGGGAGTTGTAGTCTCAAAACATCTGGAGGGCCAAGTTTGCCTATGCCTGGAGTATCTTCCTCAGCCTGGCTTAGCCAGAACAGAGACAGCTGCGCTGAGCCTGACTGGTCTTAAACTGGCATAAGCCCTGAAACAGGGTGGCATTTCGGCTGAATCCTAGGACTATTCACATGACTCAACAACTCAGTGAAACTCAAACACAATAATATAATTTCTTGGCTGCTTTTCATTCGCATGAATCACAAAGCGGCTTACAAACAATAAATAACAGTGACATACTAGAACATCACAAATGCAACATGAAGCAGACAACATAAATCTTGTGCACAGGATTAGTCTCCATGTGGATGAGCCTCAGTGCTGGGAGAACGGCTGAGTTTTGTTCACTTTCAAAGCATCTCTGCTTCTCACTACATTCCAAGCAGAGATCTTTGTTCAAAAACAAGCTCTTAGTTGGTTTTGTAATGAATCGGTTTATAACCGTGACTCATGAAGCTGGTTCCTCCACTGAGAATATATGAGAATATAAAGGTGGGGATAAAAGACAAGGTAGGACCGCAATCAGCAACTGGAATACCTGAAGATGCTGTTTTCAACAAGAAAAAAAAAGGAGTAGAAGTGAAAACCAGACCTGAAGTCATTTCCTCTGATCTGAAAACCCAGGTGCTTGGTTCCAGATGTTGGGAGTAGGTGGGCTCTTAAAAAGCCGTGTCATGGGTTGTTGTGACCCTGAATGGACTCCTGTGCCTTTAAGAAAAGCATAAACAGAAGAAGTCGCACTGAGAATTTCCCCCTTAGTTTCAGTTTTCTTTGCCTTACCTTTACCCTATGATATGCATCAGGGTTGAATCCAGCAGCAGCAGCTAGCCTGCGAAGGTTTTCCTTAACCACAATGGGTGGGTCACGTCTTTTGGAACTACTGAAGAGATTGAAAGAGCTCAACGTCGGTATATAGGAAATGCCGCCCATTCTTGTAGTGAATCCATGGAGGAAGATAGGATCTAGTGAAAAGAACAATGGGGGGGGATCATGGTTATGCAGGCCTAATATCACCCAAAATATGCTTCAGGGGAGCAAGAATTTGGCATAAAGCTGGGATGGGGGAGATAGGCTGGCATAACTCTGGATGTGCTAAGGAGGAGGGAATTAAACAAGCATAGTCTGGCTGCACTGGGAACCTTCTGAGATTCACTGAACCCAAACCTGCAGCAGATCTTAAGTCTCCAAATCTATTCCCATCTCTCTAATACACAATCTGGTTTAAAACCAGTTACAGATACAGTGGTACCTCGGGTTAAGTACTTAATTGGTTCCGGAGGTCCATACTTAACCTGAAACTGTTCTTAACCTGAAGCACCACTTTAGCTAATGGGGCCTCCTGCTGCTGCCGTGCCGCCGGAGCACAATTTCTATTCTCATCCTGAAGCAAAGTTCTTAACCTGAAGCAATATTTCTGGGTTAGCGGAGTCTGTAACATGAAGCGTATGTAACCTGAAGTGTATGTAACCCGAGGTACCACTGTAACTTCAACCTGCCAGTAAAAATTCCAGCAAAAAATCCCTCCAGCTCAAAATTCACACATTACTCTCCATTATTTTGTCTAGAAATATTTTACTCTATTGAAGTCTAAAGAAAATGCAAGATTTTGAATCAGGCTTCTTCTCATGACCTTTGCCACCCGCTTTTTATACTCAGAACTTAGTGCCTCCTGTTGCATTTTATCTCTATCCATAGCAGTTTTTGCCCAAACACAGAAAATTGTGCAAAAATCCTAACTATTGCTAAGAATAGTAGGCAAAATGTATGATTACTGGGGCAATCTGACTTTTCTTGCTGAAGAAAGTCCTGGTGTTTGAGCATAGATTGAAGTGCATGTACAGACATTCAGAACTCTGTTTTCCCCCCCTCAAGCACAACCAGGATCACACTAGGTATCGAGCAATAAAAAAGGACATTTGAAAAAAGAAAAGGACTGCAGTACTACTAATATGATTTTTACACATTTTTTTTTGTTACCTGGGATCAATGAAGATTTGAGAATGGTAAGTTCGCCTTTCAGACTAGGAAGGCTCTTCAAAAATATTGTTATCTCAGTTTGGATCTTTTCTCTGTCTTGGTCTGTAAGTGGCATTAATTCACCTTGCAGTTCTGCAGATTTTCTGAGGTTGTTTTCTTCACAGTTCATCTGAAAATCTTTAAACTCAAACTGGTAAACACTAGTAAAAAGTTGATTCACATACTCTCTCATTAACGGTTTTCTTTGCGCCGGTGCGATTACTTTAACAGTGTCGATGTCTTTTTCATCGAGTTTTTGTTTAATGGTGTATAAGACAGCAACTGTAGTTTTGGCACACACAACCTCAAGTTTCCCTGGACCATGAAAGCCTTGTATTGCTGTATGAAATACATCTCCACAATTCCCTTCACTTCCAAAGGTTTGGCAGCACATAAGGTAAACAGGGTAGTTCTCCCCCAGAGTTTCTAATGTTCTGATCACCGATGCCTGGGTCCAGTTATTCCACGACCTGGGTCCGAAGATGCACAAATCAATCAAGACTGCCTTCGCCATATTCTATGGACAACACCTGATGATGGCAAACGTGGGGTGATCGGCTGGCTGGTGGAGGGAAAAGAGTAAGAGAATGCATTATCAAAGAGCATTATCCTTTATTCTGCAGATCAAGCAGATAAAATGAACAATCCAGAAAGGGATTCACAATCCGATGACACAGAAAACAGCAGCAGCCTATCACTGAGTGCGGAGCAAAGTTTTATCATATTTCGAGACCCACCAAGGACTTTACAAGGGAAAAGTCTGAATCAAAGTTTCAGCTCCTTGAACTACACTGAAGGACTCTCTTACGAAGCTTAATAAAAGGAACAAATATTGTTAATGCAGAGGTTTGTGATGAAATCTTTTTGTTTAGGCAACTTTATCCAGACATGCGGATGTTGAAGCATTTCATTCTATTTTTAGTTTATGGCAGATTTTGTCTTTAAAATGTTTTTAATTACTAGGTTTTAACTGGTTTTATTGGTAATTTTAAAATTTCCTGTAAACCTCTGAGAGGTTTTGTTACAATCAACCAGTACATTATTTATTTATTTTTTGTAAATAAAGAATAAATTGAAAAACTCAAAGGCTAAATAGTATGCCTGCTGCTTACCTGGGAGTAAATCCCATTAATTTCAGCGGGGCTTACTTGCAGGGATACATGATGCTAGGATAAGACCCTTTTCTACTGAGGAAAGGAATAGAAAAATTCAAAAAGCTAAAGCAGACCTAACTTGAATGGAATCTAATTTTTAAGAAATTATGTTTAGGATCCGAACGTGAAGTCTACTAGGGCTGCCATCGTATGTGCATTATAATATCCTGCTCCCACCGGAAACAACCGTGGGGGTGGGGGGGTGGGAGCATAGATAGGATGCATAGTTGCAGACTAGACCTGCCAAAAAAACCACCAAAGAATCTTGCTGGCTAAAAATTGGAAAACACACAAAGTGCCAACAGTGGAGGAATGGCAGATGAAGATGATGGACTTTTGGGAGCTAGCCGACCTGACCGGAAGAGTCCGTGACCATAAGGAGGAGGAGTATCAGGAAGAATGGAAGAAATGTAAAGACTATTTAGCTAAATATGCTAAGATAATCTAAATAGAAATACTTGCAAGTACCAGATAGGCCTAGGATTTAAATATGTGATGCTATAGAATAATATGTCTAAAGTAAAAATGAAAAGAAAGATATCAATTGACTAAGTAAATTATATGTGAAAATAGTTTTGGAAAACTGTTACAATGATATACATTGAAACTCTGCTTGGGGGAGTTGAGGTCATCCAACAATGTAAAGAATGTAGAGAAAAGTGGAATTATTACACTTAAGATTTATGTTTGTTTGTTTGCCTGTTTATAAATATGGAATAATAATAAATATGAAAAATCAATAAAAAAATTGGGGGGGAAAGAATCTACAGTGGTGCCCCGCAAGACGAATGCCTCGCAAGACGAAAAACTCGCTAGACGAAAGGGTTTTCCGTTTTTGCGTTGCTTCGCTAGACAAATTTCCCTATGGGCTTGCTTTGCAAGACGAAAACGTCTTGCGCTTTTTTTTAAAAGCCGCTTGAAGAGGCGCAGTTGCGACGGACCGTGCTTCGCAAGACGAAAAACATCGCAAGACGAAAAGACTCACGGAACGAATTCTTTTCGTCTTGCGAGGCACCACTGTATTTATGTACGCTACAACATTGGCAAGAGTCTTGTTAGCACAAGGATGGAAGAATGAGGAAATCCCAACGAAAGAACAGTGGCAAGAAAAATTGATGAGCTATGCGTAATTGGCTAAGTTGACATACAAACTGCATAATAAGGACAACCGTGACTTCAAGGAAGGATGGGACCTTTTTACAAATGATCTAAAAAGACAACAACACGATCTGGACTCCTTGGCAGGTTTTGAATAAACATCCACAAAGTTATCAGTTGAATATATGATAGATAAGGCAACGATACGTACAATTTTATAATATGCAGAGGATAATATGTGCAAAGAAATCAGGGAGGGGAGTTGAGGGAGGTCCTGGGGGGGGAAGGGAGGGAGGAAACATAACCAACATAAATGGTTATGTTGATTGAAAATCTGTTTGTTAAAATCGTTCAATAAAAATATATTTTAAAAAATAGGATGCATGGCTGCAATCTTAAACACAACTAGGATCTCAGTATCACTGACACGTTCAAGGGAACTTAGAACTGAAAAGAGTATATAAATGAAGCCATTAAACGCCCCCCCCCCCCGCGAGATACAGCCCCCGATAGGAAACTGATGCATTCACTTACTGATCGGGAGAAAACAGTTTGCACCTCCCCGAAGCTGCGTCCCCTTCGCTTCGTATAACGTGAGAATGCAAAAGCCACTTCCTGAAAATGCCAGATTGCAAAGGCCCGGGGGAATTCCAAAGTTTGCGCAGGGAGGCGCTAACCCGATTAATTTCCGCCAAGCGGCGGGACCAGAAGAGCAGGACTTCGCTTCCCAAAAGGGCGGCGAGCAGAGCGGGCCAGGATCCCCGCTTCTCCCCGGAGAGGAAGGCAGACAGCCCGCAGCCCGCAGCCCGCCGGGAAGAGCGCTGCAAAAAGGAGGGCGCCTCGGGGATCTTCTGCAATTCGGGCAAAACACACACAGAAAAAAAAATACCCCAAACCCCTTTTCGTTTTTGAAGCCTGGAAAAAACTGCTCTGCAAATGCTGGCGCCCCCGGGCGCTCAGTTGGAGAAGGAGGGCCGGCCCCTCTCCTTGCCAGTTGGGCGTCCCGGTAGGAGGGCGCCCCCAGCGGCCCCTCGAGGAGCTGCGCCAATAATAATAATAATAATAATAATAATAATAATAATAACCCGCCCATCTGGCTGGGCTTCCCCAGCAAACACGGAATTTTTTATTTTTTTAAAATGATATTTATTAAAATTTCAAAGAAAAGAAAGAAATTACATTAATAAGAAAATTAACAATAAAAAAGAAAAATTAACAATAAAAAGGAAAAATACAAAATACAAAAAAAGAAAAAAACAGTTAAAAACAATTCCATCTTTTCATCACTTCTCTTACATTTACTTATTTCCTGGACCTCCTCATACCTCCCTTTTTTGTATTCCAATTCAATTTGTTAGTCCAGCAATTCCTTTCCCTCCTTTTTCATCCTGATCTTTAATCTTGATATATTATAACATTAATTTTTTACGTATTAAAAACCAATTTTTCCATATTCTTTTATACCATTACAGCTAGAAACCACTTAACTTCAATCCGACATCATGCTAACATTCATTAATTTTACAATATTTCTGTAAGTAGTTGCAAACGCGGAAATTAATTCAATAGGGCTTGTTGGTTTGTTGTTCCAGTGCCGGGTTTTACGTACAAGCTAAACAAGCTGTAGCTTAGGACCCCACTCTTTTGGGGGCCCCCCAAAAAAATTAAAGGGGAAAAAACAACTGGATGCACAATGTGATACGGAAGGGGGGGCATGTCTTCTTCTTCACCTTCTTCGCTACAATATATCCATTTATTTCCAATTGCCAATGTCAAAAGGGACTAAAATCTATAAAATTCATAGAAAATCAACGTGCCAATTTGCTCAATTTCTCTAGGACTCCATGACACCTCACCTGCCCTCCATAATCCTCAAGCAAGGTGTCAAGACCCTAATCCTGTCAAATCGCTCTGCCAAGCCCTTCCTCCGGGCGATGCCAGGTGACAGACTATGCATACATGGACCATTGTCTTCTCAGGATGTGCTTACCTGCGCATATCTCCAGCTCTGCATATTCCCCTCCCTCCTCCATATGTTAATCCGGTGTAACCCAACCTCTTCCTAATGTATTCGTGATGTAATCTGTGTAACCCAACCTCTTCTTAATGTATTCATGATGTAACTGGGATGTATTTTGCACTGTATTCTGGGACATGGAGGGAAATTTCAAAAGTTCATGTCACCCCTTTCTCGCTGTTCAATCTCGCCTTGAACCTGTTGCGCAATAAACTCGGATCTCCTGCAGTTTGCTCCTGTCTCCGGCTGAGCTCATTTTCTTCCGCAGGGACCCGCGGACTTAGTCCGACGAGCTGGGTGGCAGAGTAACCCCACACCCAGATTTTACCGTAACAAATGGCAGATGAAGGTGATGGACTACATGGAACTGGCGGAAATGACTGGCGGAATCCGAGACCAGGGAGAAGAGTCGGTGGAAGAAGATTGGAAACAATTTAAAGTATATTTACAGAAATATTGCAAAATTAATGAATGTTGGAAGGATGCTGGAATGAAGCGATATGGCTCTAGCAGAAATGTTATAAAGAATTAAGTAAAAATAGATTGTTAATGGACCAAAGTGGAAAATTTAAGGTTAGAGGGTCTTAAGTTAAATTTTAGAACGAAAATTGAGAAATAATAATAATAATAAATTTTATTTATATCCCGCCCTCCCCAGCCGAAGCCGGGCTCAGGGCGGCTAACAACAATAAAACAGTACAAAAGTACAGCATAAACAACATTCTAAAATCATTCATTATAAAATTAATTAATTCAAGCCAATGGAAAGATGGAAAGGACTTGCTGAAATAGCTAATTGAACTAGAATACAAAAAAGGGAGGTGTGAGGAGGTCGATGAAACAAGTATATGAAAGGTAAAGACATGGAAAAGTTGGAAGTGTTTTTAAATGTTTTTGTTCTGTTTTTTCGTTATTTTATTGTATTGTTTTTTGTTTTTTTTAATGTATTGTAAGGTCTTGTTTTGTTTTGTTTAATTCTCTATTGTTTTCTTTCTTTTTCTGTAACTTGTAAACTCCTAATAAATATCTTTTTTAAAACAAAAACAAAAACAACTGGATGTACATTTCCAAAATATAAGATAAAAAAACAAAATAAAACCTACCTACAGCAACCGTGTTTTGTGTTGTGTAGGCTCCTGTGATGTAAGTCATGGACCCTGCCTGCTAGCCTGCTCCCTAAAACATTCTTGCGGGGAGTGGGGGGTTATTGGGTTGTTTTTTTATTTTGATTACATATTTTGTGGTTTTATACTCTGATTTTGTTCTGTTGAAGCGCCCTGAGACCTCCTGGTACAGGGTGGTGTATAAATTCAGTAAAATAAATAAATAAATAAATAAGCAAGCCACTAAGTAACAGGCTGAGGTAAAATCACCATTTTAACTGATCGCTGAAAAGGTTTTAATTTTAATTTTTTAAATTAATTTAAATTAATTAAATTAAATTAATTAATTTAATTTAATTAATTTAATTAATTAATTTAATTTAATTTTAATTAATTTTAATCTGTTGAAACGGACCCACCTGGGCCCATTTGAAGTGGCATCTTTTGAACAGCCGTGGATGACATATTACTGATTTTTTTGCTGAATTTGGGGTGGAAGAGGAACATGTTAAGATATTAACTGAGCCAAAATTTTGAAAAAAAGAAAAGATATTAACTGAGCCTATAGGCCCAAGAGAAAGGGGAGGAAAAGAGGCCACACTGGGAAAAATACGAGGTTTTGTGATTAAATTTAAACTGCCACAGGCCTCAATTGGCTGCTCTTTACATTTATCGACGGCTTCATTTTACGAGGATAAGAGTAAACATGTATAACGTGGTCACCAAAAGACAGATAAAATTGTCAGGTTTTTTGACACCGCATTGGCTTTTGCCTCTGAAATAAATGGCATGCGATTTTATTTCTAAACCCATGTCATTAACTGAGTCAACTCTTTTCTGTGGTTTTGCCACCATTTTTTCCGTTTTTTCCTGTCCGATCTCCTCAAGACCTGACTTGAGGAAGTCTTTGTTGAATAAATTCTTTTTTCCTCACCTCAGTCCGTCAGTTTTCGATGATAAGCTATTTTTCAGTTTACATAGAAGGTCTTGCCAACTACTATTCTGTTGTGAGGGAATCATATTCCCACACAGAAACTGAAGAAAACTCACTCACATAATACTTCTGCTGTCATACAGATTGTGAACTATCTCAGCTAAGGTCTGGTTCAAATAGTCTCGGAAAGGCATTGAAAATCTATTTAATGTTGATAAGTAATTTCTATTTGCATTCATTATTTTGAATCTCTCAGTGCCCTCATCATTGCATGTCCTTCTGTCATTATATTTGCTATTATAGCTAGCTTGATAATATAAAATTATGAAATTAACATTTAAAAGACAAAACAATGGCAAAATAATAATGCAGTTTATTTGATAGAGATGATCCTGGAAAGTTTCAGAACAAAATGGAGGACGGGATAAGCAATCAAAGGAGCCTCTAAAAATGTGCACTTTATAGAAATGTGCACTTTGGGATCCAAGCCAATATTTTCAAGAAAAATAATGTGTTCCTAAGGTTTCTTCAAGGAAAAGGCAACTTGCCAAACCCATCTTTGTGTGCATATGCTTTAAAGCTTGTTTGAAGCTCATTTCTCTGCCTCAAAGAATTCTGGGTACTGTAGTTAAACCCTCAAAGAGGTACAATTACCAGCAAACCTTAACAAACTACAGTGCCCAGAATTCTCTGAAGGGAAAATGTGCGCTGAATGTGCACAATGTCTAGTGTGTATACAGACATGCTTTAGCATCTTCCCTCTGCAAAGGGATTTCTTCTGGAAAGGGTTTTCGGAGTGTAGGGCTACAGGTAGGCGGACAGGAAGAGAAAGATGAGTTGGGCAAGTTGCTTTTTGGATACAATAGAACATACTTTCCATATCATACTAAAATATGTGAATATTTAACATTTATTCACAGGACCCTACTTGTATGAACTCAACTTTCAAAGCAGCTCTTCAAATAGCAGGACTTATGTTACATGTAGGGATGCGGGTGGCGCTGTGGTGTAAACCACTGAGCCTAGGGCTTGCTGGTCGGAAGGTCAGCGGTTCGAATCCCTGTGACAGGGTGAGCTCCCAGTGCTCAGCACCAGCTCCTGCCAACCTAGCAGTTCGAAAGCACACCAGTGCAAGTAGAAAAATAAGTACTGCTCCGGCGGGAAGGTAAACAGTGTTTCCGTGCGCTGCTCTGGTTTCGCTGGCTTAGTCATGGTGGCCACATGACCCGGAAAAACTGTCTGCGGACAAACATTGGCTCCCTCGGCCAGTAAAGCAAGATGAGCGTCGCAACCCCAGAGTTGTTTGCGACTAGACTTAACTGTCAGGGGTCCTTTACCTTTACCTTTTTATGTTAGATGTAGTTTTCAAAGCTGCTTCTCTCCAACTCTTTCTGTCTTTTCTTCTTTCTTCTTCTTTTAGGCATGGCTAATCCAAGTTCATCGTTGTTAGATGAAGCTGTGCAGCAAATAGCAGAACAACAACATGCCCAAGCCTCTGAAATAGAAAGCAACAAGGCTGTCCTTATTAGGTTGCAGGTAATATGACTTTTGGGACGTGGGTGGCACTGTGGGTTAAACCACAGAGCCTAGGACTTGCCGATCAGAAGGTTGGTGGTTCGAATCCCCGTGACGGGGTGAGCTCCCGTTGCTCGGTCCCTGCTCCTGCCAACCTAGCAGTTCGAAAGCCCGCCAGTGCAAGTAGATAAATAGGTACCGATCCGGAGGGAAGGTAAACGGCGTTTCCGTGCGCTGCTCTGGTTCGCCAGAAGCGGCTTAGTCATGCTGGCCACATGACCCGGAAGCTGTACGCCGGCTCCCTTGGCCAATAAAGCGAGATGAGCGCCGCAACCCCAGAGTCAGTCATGACTGGACCTAATGGTCATGGGCCCCTTTACCTAATACTGTATGACTTTTAGAAAATAACACTTGCACAAAAGGAAATGCCATCCTGAATCTCTGCTCAGTTTCAGTTCAAATATATGGCTTAGTCAAGAATTGTCCAAGAGGGCAGTTTTTAGGACTCATCCAATTGAAATTACAGAAATAGTACCTCGGGTTAAGAACTTTGCTTCAGGATGAGAACAGAAATCATGCTCTGGCGGCGCGGCAGCAGCGGGAGGCCCCATTAGCTAAAGTGGTGCTTCAGGTTAAGAACGGACATCCGGAACGAATTAAGTACGTAACCAGAGGTACCACTGTAGTTCTGTATGACCAAACGCACTTTGATCTGGTTGAGTCAAACCCAACCATAAATATGGAATGAATGTAAGCTCGTAAGAAGAGCCGCCTGGATCAGCCCAGCATCCTGTTCTCAAAGTGGCCAAGCAGATGTCCTTAGGAAGCATGCATGCAAGGCCCAAGGCTCAGGGCCGTCTTTAGCAGATGCAACGCCGGAGTGCAGATATCCGCCCAGTACCCCCAAATTACCACGGATAGTGTTGGGGTGGCTGTGGCTGCGCACTGCCAGCCATCGGGGGGGGGCTCTCCCCCATGCCGCTGTAGGAGAGCGATCCCCGCAGAGGCTTGGGAGTGAAGTTGCGCCCCTCCCAAGCCTCCACGGAAGGAGAGCGCAGCTTCCCTCCGAAGCCTCCCCAGGAGGAGAGCGATCCCCGCAGAGGCTTGGAAGGAAAGCTGCATGTCTGCCAGCCTTATGGTTGGCGGGGCGCAGCTGGCAGGCATGCAAGGAAAGGGGAGGCCACTGGCAAAGCCGCGTAGCTCCCCCACTTGCTGGGGCACCCCTGAGAGACCTGCGCCCTGGCGCGACGCACCACTAAGCCCTATGGGAAAGACGGCTCTGCCAAGGCTATATAGCACTACAGCATTTACCTCTTTCCAGTTGTCTGTACCGTATGGAGGAGGATTTTAGGGACAAGTTACATATTTTTTTCTTAGAAGAGCAGCAATTTCACATTCGAGTTCTTTAAGAATTACTGGGTGGATTGTTACTTGGACCCACCAACCTGTCAGTTTTATCTTGCCATTAAGGCCTGGAACCTCATCTCTTGTCAACACTATTTGCCCCAGTTCCTTGGACTCTCTCTCTTCCTGCGTACATTAGTTCAGGCACAAGGATATGTCCTATGTCTTCTGCCCTAAAGACAAGTGGGAAAAGTCGTATGATTTCCTGCAGTCTCCTTGCCCCAGCACCCTAGAAGAAGACTTGAAATACAGCAAATTGGTGGAAAGTTTTTATTTATTAAAATAATAACAATTAGATGATCTGCAGTATAAAAGTCAATTCGAACAAGTGTGGGCAGGTGAAGATAGTTTTTTCTCCTATCGGCATGTGTGCACACACATTTTGTGGCTTCTGAGCCAAGGGCTGGAATAAATTACCTTCCTTGCTGTTCTAGAGTCATTTAGGCTACCTACAAAAGAAGTCCGTCATGTGGTAGGGGAGGGGAGGCAGATGCTGTTTGAGGAAGACAATTCCAAGCTTCGCATGAATGTACAGAACTATTCATGTTGATCGGGTATTGTGACATCACAGATCATTTTAATCAGGAAAAGCCAACAGCAAAACGATAAAATTATTGTCTTCAATTTAATAAATTGGAAAGCCAAATTTCTAGATAAATCAGAGTCATACGTACTTTGTACAGTGCTATAAATTTTTATACTACTAATTATAATGCTTTCACAATTTTGTTTTCTTTTAAATAAATGAAAATAGCTAGTTAACTAAACCTCAAGCAATTACACCATTGTATAAATAATTTAATGCTATCCACCAAAAGTGTTAACTTTTCACTGTATATTACTATATTTTCCCATAGACTCAGCTGCAGGATCTTGAGGCACAAATGAAACTTGTTATGGCGGACAGAAAGGCAACAGAAAGGCAAATGTATCATCAAGATGAAGCCATAATAAGTACAAAAGATCACTGTGAAAATCTGGAGGTTCAGATCACAGCCTTGTATGTTGAGAATCTAAAGCTTGCATTTGATACGGAAACACTGCAAGAAGAGTATAAACTGATGCTTCAAAGAAACAGTGCCTACTATGCAAAAATGGCTGCTCATAGAGACCACTTTGTGGAGGCAGAAAACAAATTGCCACTCATGACTGAGCTCACTAAGAAAAAAGCTGCGGTCAAAGAGATGATTACAAACAAGGAGGAATTAATGTCTGTTCTACAGAATCCAGAAGTACCGGTAAATACTACTAACCAATCTCAGGTCCAATTAATTGGCTTTCTCACCTTATCTTCTATGTAAAATTGTGTTTTCTTTATGTATCTGACTGGGACCTAGCCTAATACTTTGTTCACAAGGAGATAAGTGCTGTTACTCACCATTGTCTACATTTGTGACCAGATGTGGTTGCAACAATTCTCCTTGTCATCTGGGGGAGCGCATTCCACAGGGTGGGTGCTACTACTGAGAAGGCCCTCTGCCTCATCCCCTGTAACTTTACACAGTGAGGGAGCCACCAGAAAGCCCTGGGAGCTGGACCTCAGTGTCCGGGCTGGAGGATGGAGGTGGAGACATTCCTTCAGGTCTACAGGGCCGAGGCCATTTAGGGCTTTAAAGGTCAGCACCAACACTTTGAATTGTGCTCAGAAACGTACTGGGAGCCAGCGTAGGTCTTTCAGGACTGGAATTATATGGTCCTGGCAACCGCTGCCAGTCACCAGTCCAGCTGCCGCATTCTGGATTCGTTGTAGTTTCTGACTCACCTTCAAAGGTAGCCCCACGTAGAGCGCATTGCAGTAGTCCAAGAGCGTACCACTCTGGCGAGACAGTGCACAGGCAGGTAGGGTCTCAGCCGGCATAGCAGGTGGAGCTAGTAGACAGCTGCCCTGGACACTTCTCTGTGTATGTCAGTGTATGTGTTTGGGTGTTGTAGAAGTAGCCCAAAACCACAGCAAAAGTAAATAGCCAACTGGTGGCTGGCAACCTTTTGACTTAGCAATGTAGAATACACAGTAGGAACAAAGTATGAACTATACAGAGCATATCTAAAGCAAAAATTAAAACTGCTTAACTAATTTCAATATACATGTCCTACATGGGTATCACAGACATGTCCAAGTCCATGAAGAAATCAGGAATAGCAACAGTACCCAAGGCTTCAGCTGTGAGAAGTAGTCGCTGTACTTACTTATAATGTCCTGTTGCTGCAATCTGACCTCAAGTGATGACACTTTCTGTAGTAGCAGCTTTGGGTGTCATTTCAATCAGGAAATGAATTAGGATTAAATGCCCCTCAGAGCTGCTTAGCTTATGAGATCAGGAGCATCCCATAACTGCTTTAAAACAAAGAGAAAATATTGGGCGGTCCAATTTAGGTCTAAGAATCAACATGCTTGGACATGGAAAACCACATTAGTTGCTAAGCACAGTATTGCATGCTTGAAAAGCCAAAGTTCTGTTTCTGATGAAATTTGGGTATTCAACAAATTTAGATATTACTTTTAAGAGCGAGTTGATCTTGGGAGATCATGTGAGGATCATGTATCCTACCCATTCTATGTTTATTTTGTTTTTCATTTTTCCTTTTGTTGTTGTTCATTTGCCAATTACTATTTAGATTCAATTTTGGCATTTACTTAAAACTTCTAGCACTGAATCTTGGAACAATCCCAATTGTCATTTAAATTCCAAAAAGATCTGTGAACATAAAAATATTTTCATATTCTTTTATCTATCTGTAGGATGAAATCGTATATTTGGAAGCTGAAATTAATGCGTTGAAAGAAGCGATCAATGGAAAGGAAAATGCACTTAGAGATGAAAGAAATGTGCATGCAAGGCTTCAAAAAGAAATTCAGGTGATTTTCAGTCAATAGATCATCATCAATCTTTATTACGGTCCAGAGACCCAACAAATCATTACAAAGCAATACACAATTCATACAGCCTACCTCCAGGTTAAACAAGCATTTTGTTCAGAATATAGGGATCATTTGTTCTTGCAACCACCGATAAAAACTTTGCCACTGCTAATGTTCTAGCATTTGTCCGGTCTTCCAATAGGAACCTGACATAGTGAGCCTCTGATTTTCCTGGGAAAGGTACCAGTAAGGGTAGTATCAGTTCAGCCCTGGCTTGCTCATATTTTGCACAATGCAACAAAATATGTTTTATGGAATCGATGTCTTGAGCACACGAGCAAAGTCAATAGAATAGAATATGTCACCAGCTGTGTTGTGCTTCATGTCTTCTAGAAAAAGAACTCTTAATTCTAAAACTTATACATTTTTGAAAAATCCCAGTAGTCTAGGAATATGAATAAAAACAAATCAGTATTGCTGGGGTTCTCTCCCACCTCCATTCCACAAACACAGAACAACAAAAGCTGGTATTTTACTTTATTGCAATGTGGAATAGTTATGATATTCTGTTTATTGTTATTTATTATTTATCACATGAACCACTTGCTTGACAATTTGTATCAGTAGCGCATGATGAGCTGGAAAAATATTGCTATGTTACAGAATCAAATGTTGGGTACCAGTATTGTGAATATTTGGGTCTTCTTGACTCTCAACATAGACCCTGGTGGTTGTGTCGTCTGTTTCACTGTGTACTATAAACCAGCACATAGAGGAGCTAATTGATCTTTGCGCAAATGACTACAACATATTTATTCCTAAAATGGTACATTGGTGAGTCAAACAAACATTGTGTGTGGGTCCTCTCCACACTGGTTATACAGTGGTACCTCGGGTTACATACACTTCAGGTTACATATGCTTCAGGTTACAGACTCTGCTAACCCAGAAATAGTACCTTGGGTTAAGAACTTTGCTTCAGGATGAGAACAGAAATCGTGCTCCGGTGGCGTGGTGGCAGCAGGAGGCCCCATTAGCTAAAGTGGTGCTTCAAGTTAAGAACAGTTTCGGGTTAAGAACGGACCTCCAGAATAAATTAAGTTCTTAACCCGAGGTACCACTGTATTGCTGTAACCTGCTCTGAGACCTTCTGGGGAAGGGCAGGAAATAATAATAATAGATAACATGAGCAATGCAAATGAGGGTTTAATAACTGCATGCAAAGAAATTTTAATGAAGCTCCAAAAAGTTGTGGTAGTTATCTCAAGATATCTCTGTGAAGTCCAAAAGGAGTCTGCCTTGCCCACTTTGGTGTGAAGTTTTGGAGTAGTCTGCTAGCAATATGCTGACAATACCCACTCTCTCTCTCTTCTGGCCTCATGGTCTTTCTCTCTGCACAGTCAGAATGACCAATGGTCAGGGATGATGGAAGGGGCAGTATTTAATCCCATACATGTCAACTCAGAAATAAAACCCACTGTGGGAGAGAACTGCATCCTAAAAAACCTTTGTGACCTTATATCTGTTTGCTGTATGTCTGTTGTGCTCAAGCATTTCTCAGCTGTGTTTATTCTTATTGTTAACAGGTGCAGAATAAAAGATATGAAGCTATACTAAAGCGTTTGCATTGTCAAGTGAACAAATTTCAGTCCAGCAAAAGACAGCGGCGCTGTAACCTTCAGCAAATGGAAGAAAAAGTAGCAGAACTAAGGAATCTCCTTGAAGCAACTGATTGATAGACTATATGGTCATTTTAAGGGTATGGTCCGCTCTCTTTATGTAACAAAGCGTTAAGTTTGTCTTATACTTACCGTTCATGGAGCTTTCCTATCTCCTCAACATTTTCTTTCTGATACTGTCTTTTCCCCAGTTACAAATGCACTTGTTACCTACACAGGAGTCACTGTGATGCAGAAAAGCATTGAAGTAGGGGAAAAACAGAAGTTCACGCCACCTGCTTACTCTCTGATTTGCTGTTCTTATAAAACTTGGTTGTGCTATTTGAATTTAAGCCCCACAAATATAAAGAAGCCACCAGATAGATCTGATTCTGGGGTAATTCTGTGACATGCAAAGCTATACCTAGTCTGAATCTGGGAAATCCATAAAGCAAAATATTTAATTCATCCGGATGGACAAAAAAGGTGAAGCGCATGGCTGCAATCTTAAGGATGTTTACCTTAAATCTCAGCAAAATCAGTGAAACTGGGGGCCTAAATACAGGTTATACACAAATGCATGTAACGGAACCGTGAGGGTTATTATATGTTTAGAACACTATGGGACAAACTGGTGCATGGTAGTACTCCCATTTGGTACTCAAACTTGCCCCTTCTCTGAAGAAAAAGAGGACAGAGGTGTTGTTACAGGCATTAGATAGGAGGACCTGCACTTAAATATTTGGGGTTCCAGTATCTCTGAACAATCCGTTACTTTCTGTTTCCCTTCTAAGGGACTGAATTGTTACTACCTGTTTCTTTGCTATTCCAGTATTAAAAGAAGACTTAAGCAGAATGGAATATGAGGGGGTTCCCTGTTTCATTGCTGTGGCTGGGACACTCATGTGCCCTGTCTGTCTGTAAAATATTTCTCGTGGTTCAGTCTAGCAAACATATTTTTCAGCTACGTAAGTTTTAGGCCCTGTATAGCAGAGGCTGTTTGAGAGATGCTGCCTGGACAGCGAAGTTTTGCACTACTCTCTATGTAAAAGGTAAAGGTAAAGGTACCCCTGCCCATACGGGCCAGTCGTGTCCGACTCTAGGGTTGTGTGCCCATCTCACTTAAGAGGCCGGGGGCCAGCGCTGTCCGGAGACACTTCCGGGTTACGTGGCCAGCGTGACGAAGCTGCTCTGGCGAGCCAGCACCAGCGCAGCACACGGAAACGCCGTTTACCTTCCCGCTATAAAGCGGTACCTATTTATCTACTTGCACTTAGGGGTGCTTTCGAACTGCTAGGTGGGCAGGAGCTGGGACCGAAAGACGGGAGCTCACCCCGCCGCGGGGATTCGAACCGCCGACCATGCGATCGGCAAGCCCTAGGCACTGAGGTTTTACCCACAGCGCCACCCGCGTCCCCCACTCTCTATGTAAGGGCTAACTAAATGCCAAAGAACCTTTAAAAAGTGGAATAAAATTTTTGAAAGGGTTTTTCTTCCAAACTTCGCAGCTTATCCTTTTATTTGGTGCAAGGCAGGACTGGCCCAAGACATTCTGCCACCTGAGGTGAACCAGAAAATGGTGCCCCCATCTGGTATTCAGAAGTAGAGTGCCCCTGAAGTTGGGGACTCTATTTCAGTTAGGGCCATCTAACAGCTCTTGCTAGGACCGCCCACCTCACCGCAACCCACCACCATGTAAAGTATTGCACTTGGGCAAAAAATATGAGAGGCACAAATACAAGATGAGTGACACCTGGCTTGAGAGCAGTACATGTGAAAAGGATCTAGGAGTCTTGGTTGACCACAAACTTGACATGAGCCAACAGTGTGACGCGGCAGCTAAAAAAAGCCAATGCAATTCTGGGCCGCATCAATAGGAGTATAGCATCTAGATCAAGGGAAGTAATAGTGCCACTGTATTCTGCTCTGGTCAGACCTCACCTGGAGTACTGTGTCCAGTTCTGGGCACCACAGTTCAAGAAGGACACTGACAAACTGGAACGTGTCCAGAGGAGGGCAACCAAAATGGTCAAAGGCCTGGAAACGATGCCTTATGAGGAACGGCTAAGAGAGCTGGGCATGTTTAGCCTGGAGAAGAGGAGGTTAAGGGGTGATATGATAGCCATGTTCAAATATATAAAAGGATGTCACATAGAGGAGGGAGAAAGGTTGTTTTCTGCTGCTCCAGAGAAGCGGACACGGAGCAATGGATCCAAACTACAAGAAAGAAGATTCCACCTAAACATTAGGAAGAACTTCCTGACAGTAAGAGCTGTTCAACAGTGGAATTTGCTGCCAAGGAGTGTGGTGGAGTCTCCTTCTTTGGAGGTCTTTAAGCAGAGGCTTGACAACCATATGTCAGGAGTGCTCTGATGGTGTTTCCTGCTTGGCAGGGGGTTGGACTCGATGGCCCTTGTGGTCTCTTCCAACTCTATGATTCTATGATTCTATGTCTGCATGCCTCTTGCCTCTTTTTAAAGCCATCTGACCTAGCAGCAACTTCACTGCATCTTTAGACTGTCAATCCTACTAGTTGAAAGCAGAAAGGATCTCCAAAGATTTCATGCCAAGGATCTCCACTGCATGCAATCTCTCCCGCATGGAAGAGGCAGGCAGTGAACCTGAGATATACTCGGAGTCGAGAGTGGACTTCATGCTCTTTACTCAGCTCATAGTGATGAGGAGGAATGGAGTTCCCCCAGAATGTCTGTCTTATATACATTATTTACACCATGGGCCCCACGTGATTGGCTAATTCCGGGATTCTCCTGTAGGCCAATCAGGTTGTGGATTCCCTTCCACCTGGAGCTGGATTGGGTGGCTCCTGCGGACCAATCAGACTGCTGCATTCTGAATACTATTGTTCTAGGACCAATCAGACTGCTGCCTTTTAGATCCCATTCAACTCAGTACATAACACCACCGCTCTGACCATGACAAGGGACCGATGTCAATATTCCCCCACTTTCAGGTCACCCTCTTCCCATGCCCCAGTTCTCAGGATTTTATCGATTTATTCCCTGTTCTTCAAATGCATTGTCGCGTTGGCTTCCAATAGAATATTATAAAATGCCATAAAGATTACTAATGCATTAAAAGGCACTAAAAGCAGCAACTATATAAAAGTGGCATCCATTTTAACATAACTTCTAAACAAAAGTTTAAAGCCTATAGTTCCAGGCCAGGTGCGTGGGTGGGACAACCAAAAGATATAGGACTTAAATTATATTGTGAGGTTACTCTGCCTGCACATCAATTGAGAATGCTTATGGGTTCTGGATTACTGCACTGATGCAATTGAAACCAGCTGGAAGCTCCAAGTGCTTATTTAGGGCAGCCTCCCACAAACTGGTGCCCTCTAGATGTTTTGGTCTTCATCAGCCCCAATTAGCACAGCCAAGGATCAGGGATGAGGGGAGTTATAATCTGCCAGGTAGGAAGAGCTGACCTAGAAGTGGTTCCTCTTGCAGTGAGGACTGAACCTTAGTAATAAGTCAGTCTGTGACTCCACCTTGTGGAAAAGAGTTATGCCTGCACAGAAGCGTTTTTGGACAACGCTGATTTTTTTTCTTGTGGGAGTTCTTGTTGAGAGAGTGGTGCACATCTGCACAGGATATGTGACTCACCAGGCTGAAAGCATTCTACCAGCCACATGTGGTGGCCTAACAGTGGTTTCACAACTCACCAATTTTGCTGCTAAGGGTTTTGAGCCAGCATGATCCTGACAAGCCACAATGCCTGAGTGAATCAAGCTTGGCTTGTTATAATTAGTGCAGTTCTAAGAACAACGACTTAGACGATCCAGTTAGTTCACAGCTGGAATGTGATTTGAAACTGGGCACTGCCTGGGCTCCAGATGTCAACATCAAATGGGTCGAGTGAAAGGGCCCTGGGACCTTATGGTGAAGGGTGGGTAAGAAATTGAGGAGAACAACAACAACAACAACAACAACATGCATTGAATCCAACAGTACACCTCATAATCTCAAATACAGATCTATACCTCTTTCAGTGAAACAAAGTGGCACTTGATAGGCTGGATAAATTAAGGACAATGAACCTGTGACATTTGCAGAATGAGCAGCCCCAATGGTACCTGTACTGAGAGAATTCTCCTCAGTTTGATTCAGTGTTGGACTCAGCAAACCACACAGCTTTTAAAAGTGGACTATCAATTTCACATTTCCAGCTTTGGAATCTGCTGCACTCCTGATGACATAATGAGGATTGCGACACCATGTGAATGCCTAACCCAACCCCCCCCCCCCAAGCCCACCAACACGTGCATGTTTTCTTCACATTTACCTGGCAGCAGCTGGAGTAGTGGAATGTCAGGAATGGTAGTGCCCAAGGCCCAGGCATCCTTGGAAGTTTAATTTTCCCAGGGCATCTGAGTATTTAGGAAGCTTGGGGGAGGAGAGGGAGGTGCGCTGGTTCAAATCATTATGAAATCCAAAGTAGAACTCGCAGGACATACCGTGCTTGCTTTGTAATGTTCCTGAGAGCATTATGTGCTAGCCAAACTCATGTTCAAAGGCCTGCATCTATGAACTTCAGCAATATCGCTAATGGAAGCAAGATGGCTCTGTGTACAACAATGTTGTAATTTATGAAGTGCAGTGTTTGCTGTTCTTTCAAATCCTGTATTTGGGGAGAAGATCTAAGAAGGGGCAAACTCTCTTGTTTCACTTTTAGGGTGGAGGGCCCCCCTGCAGATTTTAGAGGGGCACTGACCAGAGTTCTGCAAGTTTTCTTGTTATGACAGTCACCATTTTAGATTTTGAAGAAAGCCCCATTCTGAAGGGATTTTGGTGGTGATGGGGAACAGTGCTCCTTTTATTACAGCAGTCAGTCCCCTCCCATGCGCTTCCAAACAGCTTCTGTTGCTGTTCTGTTGCCACTGTCAACAGAACAGAGCATTAAGCACTCTGGTGTGGGTTAAACCACAGAGCCTAGGGCTTGCCGATCAGAAGGTCGGTGGTTCGCATCCCCGCAATGGGGTGAGCTCCCGTTGCTTGGTCCCTGCTCCTGCCAACCTAGCAGTTCGAAAGCACGTCAAAATGCAAGTAGATAAATAG